TGCATTTAGTACAATTGGCTTCAGTTGAGGTATTATTTCAGCTTTTCTAATGCTAATCAGCTGCTCCTGTTTGTAAACCCACGTGTTCCCATGATTACGCATCATAACTCATCATCATTATTCATCTATGTATTACTTTTATGTATTAGTCATCTATTTGTTGTAATCATCTATCCTTACAGATGTTTATTACACAAAATAAGTTATATTATCACACTTCTGGCCACATAGCGCTGATATTCACTGCACATGCCCATATTAACTTTTTCCAGCCAGGTGTTTTCCTTTTCCCATTCCTCCCTGTGCTTTTGCAGCCTATTTTTCTTTCTCTGAGCGAACAAACATTGCTGCTCTAATGCTGGGCTCGCACTGTGCGATTTTTGGCCCATTTTGAGACGATTTCTGAGTCGTGCGACGGATTTGGTGATCAGACCGATTTTGGCCTTCATCGTGCGTCGTGTAGTATACGTGGGGTAACGAGAAGCGATTAACACCTCACGACCAGCTCCCGATCATCAATCGCTCGTGAGGGTCTCACCACAGCTGCTCACACTGCGCACGCGCAAACACGTAAACGTCGGTGAAAAAGACAGAGCAGCACAGCTGTGCAGCGTGTGATCTGGACACAAGCCATGGAGGCACAACTTGTAGAACTTTAGAAAGCTCATCCGAGCCTTTTCCATGTGGCATCACAAAATTATCACGACCACAACAACCGTGAAAACAGTTGGATTTACATTGCTGCTCAATCACAGCTGCCTGATCACTGTTTTTCATTAGCAATTTAGCAAAGTTGATGGTGGTGGTGTGTGTGTCTGTGTGAGTGAAAGACAGAGAGAGCGAGCGACAGATTGTCTGTTATAACCTTCATGTTATGGAGGCACAGTGTGAGCACTCAGGTCGCATCAGAGCATCGGGCGGTATAGTGTGAGACCCTGCATCGTGACCTACCAACTTCTAACCCCTGCGAGTCAATCGTGCAGTTTGAAAATCGCACAGTGTTTGCCCAGCTTTAGGTGTACTGTCATCCGAGACTTGCACCGCAGTGTCGGCGTTTGTTTCCCTGTTGGCCATGCTTGTTGTTGTGGTCATCTGTTGTCTTTCGGTATTTTCTCTGTAAGCGACCTTTCCTCGACCAATGAGATAATCTGAATTGTCATACTCGAATTGTCATAAGTGTGCTGTCAGCTCATTGGTCACAAAGCAGGAGAGGGGCTGGGAATTATGTTTTCAAACAAAGCGTTAATTCCATTAACATTTATAGACTACTTTTGATTCTCACTATATTACGGGACAAAGTGCGTCCCTTATTAGCTCAATACGGGACGTGTACTTTTGTTTCGAAATACGGGACGATTCCGTATTTTAAGGGACGGTTGGCAACCCTAGTTAAAACTCACACCCCCAACTCTAATATTCAAATGGAAATATAATTAAATTCCCCCAGTATCATTTTTGTGAAACGAAAACTATCCATAGTTGTGATAGTTAATGGTTGTGATGGTAATTACACAAATGGTGGAGTACTAAGTTGTAAGGTGAAAAAGCAAACTAGGTTAGCTGAGCTGCATCTGTAGACTGTATAGTTTTAATATACCAAATACTAACCAAAACTGAGAACAAATTCCTCAAATGGTCTCTTAGTACAATTAGCCATGCAGCTAGCTGTTACATTTGTCCTATAATTGCATTTAACATACTCCAAAATGCACAACAGTAACTGTCAGTGACTCAAAGGCTTTGTGCTTTAAAAATTATAGTTGTAGTTTATCAAGTTTGATTCAGAACTGCCTGATGCCACTGAATTCTTAAATATATTAATAAGGGCAAACTAAAAACTGCAGTTATAAACATTTAAGAAATAGCCACATATTTTCAAAGCTATGTTTAGTAAGTTCACATCATATTTTTGGTGTTAACTGTAGTTGTGTCAAAAAACAAACAAACTGCTGAGTCCATTTGCTCACATTTTGGTCATGTCCATCAGTTTTAGCTATGCAAATCTGACTTTAACAAAATTAAAGGAGACTGAAACCAATCTACAGCTGTATATATCCCTTCAGCGGGCAGTTTAGGGTTAGGGATGAATCTTCTTGTGAGTGAAAACAACTGCTAAATCCAATGTAAATGCAGCCAACCTCAGAGTCACTCAGTCTCTATTGGCTGCTGATTGAGGGCGGACGTGAGCTTGAGCTGGGAGTGACTCAGTGTGAAAGGTCAACTGATCCCCCACATGGGGAGTCTTTTTGTCCGCCAGGCTGCCTCTGGGGAGACTAGAAAACGTGCTTGTGGTCTTGTCATCGCCCCAATTTCATCATCACTTGAAAACTGCTAGAAATCTCTAAAGCGGCCACTATGTTGGTTCAATAAGGCCGCTTATTTTTAGGTCCATAATTTTGTTCTTTAACTCTGCTAGGGTTGCTTTGCATGAGTCACAGTTCAAAATTATGCTTACTTATGTTATACTGGGCTTTGGGTGCAGACCATCTGTTCATCTTCTGTCTGAAAGAAGAGTTTGTAAATAGTAAACTTGCTTCCATATAACAAAGCTTATGCACAAGTCCAGTAAGGAAGGTTGGAATTTGTCTGCCTGCTTCCTGGGTGTACATCTGCTACTCTGGTCTATACATGACTTCCACTTTCCCACGCTGACAGACTAAATATTGACAACACTACTCTATTCTTGCCCAACTTCAGCATCCAGTTTAATTCTTAGTGCTCTTCTGTCATTATGTCTTTCAGACTTTTCATGTAACCCACCTCACCATGGTCACTCAGACCCATCCAGGCCCCCACCAACATCTAGACTCTGTCCTAATTCCTATCACCGCTGGGATTCGGATCTGCCATGATGGATCATAGGAGTTTAATAAATAGATTAGATTCGTTCACTTCTATATTACAATAAGTCATGTTCAACTGTACCAAAAGACCTCTCCTTGAACTGCGTTTCAAAAAGCTTTTTTGATTATAGTGACTTTTTGTGCATGAGTTGGCCTCATTATTTCTTCATTATTTAATCTCAGCATCCTCCTCCTACTGTGAGAGTAAATGGAAAAGAAAATGAGGGAAAGTGTAATGACCTTCTGTGAACTGCTGAAAACAGCACAATAATAATAAGCCTGAACACTGAATAGTGTTTGAGTGTCTTAAAGTCCCCTTTATCCGTAGTTTTTATTATAATAATGTATCAAATGTATGAAAATAACCTGACTGTAAGGAAGAGGACTCCCTTACTACATTTTATATTATAATCTGTATAGCACTTTAAGAGCACCTTTCCACTTTATTAAAAGCACCTTATCAAGCACTTTATTTAGCATCACACTTTAAGCATGGATTTGCACAGAAGTTTAATTATTTATTGAATATTTATAAGGTTTACCAGTAAGGACAACTAATGCAAATGTGTGTGTGCAGGTCTAGAATTAAAGGGGTGCAAAGAAGGGATTGTAAGATGTGAGCATTCACCTTTCTTTCCTGTGTCCTCTTCAAGGTGTTTGGGCAAATGCTTCCCCAGCGGTCCAGACACCATTTAAAGCTTCCGGGAGAGACCATGGATTAAGAGAGTGTGGTGAATCTTTTGTGCTTGGGTTTTGGGGTATTTATAATAATGTTTGGCATAAGATTAAAGTGTAAAATATTTATTAATATGAAATGTATTTATACATGTATTTATTCAAGTTGATGTGCTGTATACTGGGGTGGAAGGTATGGATTTAAGAATTTACCTGTGTGTGGAATAATGCTTTAGTCTGGGACAGCTGAAGGTATTTAAGGCTGCCAGTTGGCATTGGATGGGGAGTGAATTGTTTGTAAGAAGCTGTATACTAAATAAATACTTTTTGTTGCCTTGATCCATCTCACTGTGATTCCAGCTGCTAAGGGCCGCCCTGTGACCTGCATAAGGTGTCACTCATGGTGATAAGTATTATGTTAACCTTGCAGTGTTACAGAGCTTTATAATGTGTAACCAGCTAATTGTTAAACATCTTTTGGCTAACTCGCAAAAATTTAAAAACACCCAAGAGCAAAAAGCTAGAAATCTGCTAATGATAGTGGAGAACGTAGCTGCTAAAAGGATAGATATTTCTCCAGGAGCTGATGGAGACCAAAAAGAGAGCAACAGTAAATAACTAACTCTTATAATTTATCTTACCTGGTGACCAAAAACATGTGACTAATGTGGCTCCAGTCTTTCTCTGAAAGACTGATTTAATGATAGTTTGAATTGAAGGATCAGTTGAGAACCTAATATGTATAACTAGACTGGTATGTGCATTTTCAGCTGCAAATTTCCATATTTGTTCTTTGGGGTAATATCTACTTAAAAGTGCAATGCAATTTACAAGCAGAGAATTTGAAGCTTATTTTTTAAATCCCTGCAGCATTACTATAAGACTCACCAGCCACTAGATTATTATAACATTGGACTGGAGCCTCTTTTGTGCTTAGCTGACAGGAGTGACACCCGGTGTGGTCTTCTGCTGCTGTAGCCCATCTGCTTCCAGTTTTTTTTGTGTTTTTTGATGCTCTTCTTCATACCCAGTTTGTAACAAGTGGTCATTTGAGTCGCTGGTGCATTCCTATCAGCTACAAGCAGTCTGGCTATCCAACAAGCACATCACTTGCTCACTGTGTATTTTCTCGCTTTTTTAAACTATAGAAGGATAATGAAGTTTAAACTGTAAACTTTGAGAATCAGAGTTCATTTTTGCACACACTGCAATAACATCCCTGCATCTGCCACGTGTCCTGTCCTGTTCCCTCATGAGAAGGCACCGAATCTAACAACCGGCTCTGTACGGAAGCTAAAAATTTAATGCACATTGACAGCAGGGAGTGAGTTTTCATTGCGTGAGGTGTCTTTTTATCCAGTCTCCCTTGGCAATACTGTATGTATTCTTAAAATAACCCTGAGTAAGCATTTTAAAAGTTTGCAATCGCCTTAAAGGAAGCTGCCAGATGCTAGGAGGGGGGAAAAAACACGAACAGAACACTAAACAAGACACACTGTCTTTATTTTTGCAGTGGGAATACAAACTTGGAACACAACCATCCATGGAGCATTCACACAATGGGGTTTTTGTTGTTTTTTTCCAGTCAGTGTGCTTTTTGTACAAGCGCATTTTGGAGGAGAGACATCAGAAGCCTGTCACAATCAATGCAGTTAAAGGCGACTTCATGAGACACACATTTGGAAAAAATGAACAAAACGCAGTCCCATTTTCACCACTTATAAACACATTCCTGTCATAAGAAAGGCAAAGCAGTAATGAACACACATGACTGATGAACTTTTAATAATAACTGTCCTTAAATATAAGTTTTGCAAAAGCTCAGGAAGGAACCTTGTTTTTACTTTCGGTGGGATTCTGTCGTTTTCACATTTCACTTAAACGATCAGCCGAAGATTCATCAGCCTGCTATGTACTGCTGCTTGTGAAGCTTCATGTTTACCATCAAAATGTCAATCTGCTCAACAGCTAAAATTGTTTCTGTTTTTTTTCAGTGATGCTTTTAGTAGAGTAGAAGGCGAAGGTCAGGAGATGGAGAGGAATGTGTAAAGGAAGAACCTATTAAATTTTGATGTGGATGGGACATGAGCCTTGATGGAGGACTACTTTTTTTGGTTATTTAATACACATTTACCTGACTTTTATCTGAAGAGTGGGCTCTGTAAGTATTTTAAATTAGAGCCTAATAATTTACAGGTTCAGTCCAAAGGTATAACCTCCATCAGCACCTTTAAAAGTCACGAAAGCCCATTTCAGACAAGCACATCCTCCCCTTTAATCTCAGTGTAATCTACAGATGGGCACTCACATGATTACAACCACTGAAATTAGGGGGGAAACTAAACAAAACAGAGGCATCAGCACACTGATGACTTGCACAGGCTTTTGGTCAACATGAAAAAGCACAGGCAGGACCGGGAGGAATGCAAGCACAAGGTTTAAAGAGGCAAAGGAGGATGGCAGGAATGGGCCACTCAAACGGCCCTGCAGAAGGAGATGCACTCCCACCACCGCAGCAGTATCTCTACACACTGGGGAGGAAGGTGTCTCTGCCACTGGGAGCACATTAATATAACGTCAGAATGACAGAACACCATCACATTAGTGGATTAAAGGTTACCCATCCCTTCTCGTTTCTTTAATCTGAAAGTGTAAACGCTGATTTTAGCTGGTGTCCTTTTGTGGCATCAAGTTAAAATGATCGATTATTGACTTGTAGCTGACTTGTATTGATCAAAAAATAAATAAATCAGTATGTTTGGTTACAGGTTTCAGTGAAATGTAGTTGCCTTAAGTCTCAAACTTGCTGGTGTAAATTTCTGCTGACCTTAAAAGCTGTAACATAATGAAAACATTTTTGGCTGATGCTTTTTTATGTTTCCGATCCCATCTTATTAAACATTACCCATTTCCACTTGATATGTCCTTAGTAAAACAAACTAGTACTATGAAATACAGAACATGACTACATTCACCTTAGGAAATTCAAACCTTGCAAACTTGCATCTGTGAGTAAGTCAGCCGGTTTGCTGTTTGGTGTAAATGCACTGTCCTGTAAAGGGACTGCCTCTGAATACCCACTGGAGCTGAATCTTTTAAACTCCTGTCTAATGGACTCCAAGTTCAGATGCTCTGGATGACCCTGAGCTGCTTTTAGCAGTCCAGCAGTGTGTTGGGGTGAAACATAACAGAGCCCTGGTTCAAATTCATTTAATTCAAGCAGTCCATGTCTCATTCATATTTTCTATATTCAACTAAAGATCCCAAATAATAACATTAAAAAAAGTGCTGTTTATATATTAATTGCAAAAAATAATACTTTGTAATTTAGATTTTACAAGTCACGTAAAAAAGAAAAGACTGGAAACAAGATTTTGACATATGATCTGTCTGACCAGGAAGCTTTAATGCAAAAGTTCACCTTTTGCATTCACAGTTTACATGTTGAAATTAGGCTTTGCTTTTAAGCCACATTTATGTAATGGAAAAAGGAACTAGTTTTAATTAAAATATCTTAATACACACTTCCCTCCCTGATTTTGATCCGGTATTTTTCTTAGAATTACATGTGCAACAGACATGATGTGGAATTTGTAACATTTCATTATTTCTGTAGCATCATTGCAGTGATCCAGTACAAAACTTCAATTTTCAAAATATAAAATGAGCTCATAGTGACGTTCGACATTATACCTTTAACTTCTTGTAAAGGTTTACACAGAAAAGTCTGTAGCTAGCTGGTCATCCAAATTACAAGTCAAAAGTCACTTTCTGTTTTGAACTTGGGAACGAAAAACAACTTACAAAAAGCACGATTAGAATCGCATCCAAATTTACATACTGAAGTCGTTTTTTAGCGTGCCGAAACCAACGAATGTACTGAAATACACTAGTTGCATGTTTCTGAGGGAACATTAGAGGATGTGTCGCAGGACTCCACACCGGGCATAAATGTCCTATTATGCAACGCACTGAGACCTGATATCAAAAATGCTTCAATTTAAGTGTTTAAATTTAAAAAGTTTTCAGTTTGCCAAGGATAAATTTATTTGTGCTCGGCTTAACTCAGATGAGGTTGGGTTACCATGGCAACGTGGCTCTCAGGAAGTGACATCCTACAAGCCGAGTAGCGTGTCGGAACATATACTACTGAAATGTGAAAGATTCCCAGTTAAACATGACAAAAGGAATGACGCACAAATAATCGGCGTAGCACTATTTAGCTTTTAGCAGCAGCATGTAATGTATTTTTAAGCATTGGTCAACAACTTCTATGTATATTTAAATGCTTTTGCATATAAATACCATGTTAATAGCAAACTACACTCTGCCTCTGCTTGTAAATACATTCTAATTATAACTAAAGCATGACCCATTTCACTTTTTAACAATCCAACAAGCAATTCATGAAACGTAGCAATGTATTTGCACAAAAGCAAAACAGGCTTTATGGTGCTGGTTTTGATATTAGCAAGAATATGTCTCTGTTTTAAAGTAAGAATTCCTTCATATTCTGTGTTTTTGTCAACAAATCATATGAAAAAAAAAATATAAACTATCCCAGTAAATGTGTAATTTTTATGATCTCAGACAAAGACACTGTGTATTTTGTATTTTCCCACATGCACTCTTAGATGGAAAAAAAACATACAAACAGCCACAACATCCACTGCATAAACTAGTCCCCACACATGAACCTTCTAATTGTTTGGTAAAAAACTACAATGCCCATGTGTTTTTGAGGAAATTAGATACATTTAATGAGCCTCGTTAAATGTATCCGATTATGAACCAACTAAAGCGGAGCTGAGGGCCACCAAGATGCACAACATTATTGGTTTTGTTGACAATCAAGAAAAAATGTAAATAAAAATCTCTCCAGCTTTATCCTTCAAAGCCCTGCCATGTAACCTCAACAAAACATTCACACTCATGCAACATCACGATAGCCTAAAACACGTGAACCCTTGTACATATTTGGTTCCTCATCAATCTTTTAAACCTATAAAATGGATTTTCTCCTTTTGTTCGTGTAAACAAAAACGCTGAGGCGCAGGCACCTCGACTTTAATGCGACAACTAATTTCACAATGATCAATTTGTAATACCTAAATCTAGTAGAGCCATTGTACATATACAAAAAAAAAGCAGTTTTAGAAGTGTGAGAGCGATATTTGGAGCCGGGGAACAACATCCATCGCAACAAAATCCTGGACTTCAGGACCACTATATAAACGTGTATGGCTTCCAAACACTCTGAGACAATGAGACAGGAATGATTTAAATACTTCTGTTAACAGCGTAAAACTTTGGATAAACTATTCAAAGAAACGTGTATAATACACTGATGCAGTGTCCTGCGAGGAACAGACATACATCTGTGTGTTACTGCGTACAAAAAAAAACGTGAGCATAAGGTGTGTCTGGGTCGGTTTGGTCTGAGAGAGCATAAGGTTCGCCGTGAGAAAGCATCTGTTGCAACAACAGCCAGGCAGACTGGCTACGTTTAATGAACACTGTTTAAGCTAATTTCCCCCCGCATGAGTCAGCTCACTACCCAGGAGGCCGAGCTGCAGGCTTTGTGCCAGAAAACTGCTTCCAGTAGTAGCTTCAAAGAGTTAGAAGGGCTGGTGAAGCTTCCCCGAAACATGCTGGACCACATTTCCTGCAGCTGGGATGAACAACAACGCCCTAAAGACTTTAATCACTGTGAGCAACTTGTTGCAGGGGAAACATCTGACCTCTTAGTGTGTGTGTGTTCAAACACAATCACACAGAGATCAGAGACTCTCAGTTGACGAGAAGTCTTGTGAGCCAAGAAATTCTGGAGACGGCTTTAGTCTTATTCAACCACCAATCGGATAAACTTCAAAAAGACTTCCTCTTTCTCTGCTCTCTGCTGAGGTATTTTTAATGAGCTGGCAGATGCGTCTTCCACCTTAGGTGTCACCGTAAGGCAGAGGACCACCTAAATTATCAGAATTTTACACTGACTGATGCGCACACACACGCACACACTGTGAAGAGAAATAGCGAAGTAGCAGCAAGCAAGTTGTGGATTTCTGCTGTCAAAGATCACGACGTATGCCTAAAAACGCTTGCTACGAGCTGAGGAGCGATTCTTTCATTAGCTGCCTTTTCCTCCCGCTCAGGAACACCTCCACCATCGTCTCCTCGTCAGCTGATGAAGGGGGTTAAGCAGGAAGGTGAGACCGGTCGTTCGGTTTTTCTCTGTTGATTTTCCTGCTAATGTCGCCTAAGTGCTGTCAGAGCACGAGAGCTGCTCCAGAAGCGTGGCTGTTTTGCAGCGTGAAACCATGACTCATGTCGCTTTGCCTGGTAAAAAAGGAGCGTCATCGCTGTGTTACTACAAATGACTGGCCGGAGCATTTTCAGGAATACATGCTGAATGCTTAAAAAGCGTTTCTGACAACTAGTGCATATTTCTGATGGTTATAATGACCAAGGTGCTCTCCATAAACACATTCGGCGCTTTAGTTTCCTCATTGTGCACTTTTATATTTAAAAAAAGAAAGAAAATAAAAAGAGCTTGCTCTTTAGCTCTTTAATCAGCTGCTGCACTACAAGGCTGCTTTTACATAAACCGGGTCATAAGGAAGGGTCAAAATCAAGGCACACAGACTTCTCTACTAGTCCTTTCCCTCCCTCCTGCTGTCTGCAGCAGAAGCAGCTTAGAGAAGTTTCTAGAAGGCTCTGTCGACTGCCATCACCGTCAATCCTCTACCTAACAGTACCCGACTGTCGGCCCTGTGCGCTTCAGCCTTGATGTGTTAATCCAGTGGATATCTTTGCTCGCCCTCCTCCCTTTCTTCCTCCTCTCCCCAGGGACCTCTCACAGTCTCTCCTCCATCCGGAGAGAGCAGTAGGTAGAAACAAACAAACAGAAAACAACTCAAACAGCAGCAGCGGTGACAAAATTTCTCCTCTGCCCCTCTATCTCTGGATTTAGCCCTGATTCATTAATAGCCTGAAACGATCATACAGGAATCAGAGCAAACGCGAAACCCGTTACAGATGAACAGCTACGCAAGCGGCGAGGAGGTGGAGGAGTAACTTTCATCTCTTCATTCACAGCCGAGGGGATACCGCATCAACACTGACGTTTTGTTTGCCGTCCGATTTTGTGTTTTCGGGGAGCTGCCAGAGACTTGAAACACATGCTGAGGGATCAACGAGGTCACACAGGGGTGGAGAGTCACTTAACATGGACGGTGTAAACTCTCACCGTTCCCTCTCTAATTACATCTGTTTAAACGCACACTCTCTGGCTTGTGAACATTTGTCACGTTTCACCTTCAAAAGCACATCACCTCAGATTAAATAGACACTGCTGTTCACTTTTCGTGATTACAATTTCTGAGTGAAACAAACAAACAAAAAAAAAAAGGAATCGACCTAATTCAACTACCTTAATTTTTTTTTTTTTTTTTTTTTTTAAAAGGAAGGGGGGGTGGGGTGTCTTTTCTCACCCTATATCAGCAGGTATCACTCTCTGGACCAAGCCCAGCTCTTAGGGTAGCCATAGACAACTTTTCCTAATTAGGTCACGGTATTCAACACGTGCATCGGCTGTCTCCATTAGCAACTGACACTCTGATTAATCAGGGAAACCACTGCTAAGCAATCCATCACACTGGGATAATTTATCAACATCAAGTGCAGTCTAGAGGATGTGACCACTTTTACAGGCATTATTTAGTGCTTTGGCTTCGACAGCCACACGTCAAATGCAAAGACAACAAATAACAATTTGCGCGCATACACTCACACGCACACACAGGTACACACATACATGGGAGATTTTAAAAGATATCTCCAAATAGCACAAAGAGAATTTTCAAAGTGTTTCACAAAAGTAGTTCTGTGTTTATCTGCAGGGTCGGCCATGACAACCACGAAGTGATGAAAGAAAAAGCGCTGCTGCAGTGCATTCTAGGGATCTGAATTCATATTTACAGCCCGTGGAATGATAATGTACCAGTTTATTTCCTTATTTTTTTTATTTTACACACATTATCAGCTCCTTTTGTTCCTGCAGCATCCCATCGTGTTTTGGAATTAATTAATACTCCCACTCATCTGTCTTCATGTCCAGGTAGTTGAGAATGTTCTGGGCAAACTTCACCGCCTGCTTGCGTGCCACCTTGGTTGTCTCGTCGCCTTGCGGGTCAACGGCGTCCAGCGCCAGCAGCTGTTTGGTAAGCAGCTCCTCCAAGATCATGTAGCTCTTGTCGACCCGCTTGCCGTCGAAGCCCAGGACCTGAGCCTGGAGCTCTGACAGGCTCCCCAGGACTTGCCACACAGCTCGATGTGATGGGTGCTCATTGGGGCCTGGCTGGCGGTGTGCTAGAGCCTCGCGTAGGTCCAGGAACGTGATGACCGCCTGGACTTCCACCACAGCACGGCGACGGGCTTCTCTTATGCACGGGTTCTTCGCCGTGTCCACCTGGTCCAGTTGGGTGAGAAGACCCTGCAGCTCAGCTTTGGGTCTGAAGCTGAGGTCACCCATCACACAGTGTCGTAGGACGCCCTCTCGCAGGTGCGAGATGTGAGCTCGCACGCCCTCGATCTCTCGGATGGAGTTGTTCTGCGCCAAGTCATACCTGTGAGGGTGGGGGCAGGGTCAGTGCTTCTCATGATCAAATCTGCAGAATGAATGACTTGCCGGAGAGTCAATCAATCTTGATATTGTAACTGTGAGTAGGCATCGTTTTAGAAGCTACAACCACAAAATTAGCTTCTTCTTTGGTAAACAAACACTGAAAACCAGTGTTAAAGTACAAGATCTACAGTGGGGCAAAAAAGTATTTAGTCAGCCACCAATTGTGCAAGTTCCCCCACTTAAAATGATGACAGAGGTCAGTAATTTGCACCAGAGGTACACTTCAACTGTGAGAGACAGAATGTGAAAAAAAAAAATCCACGAATTCACATGGTAGGATTTGTAAAGAATTTATTCGTAAATTAGGGTGGAAAATAAGTATTTGGTCACCTCAAACAAGGAAAATCTCTGGCTCTCACAGACCTGTAACGTCTTCTGTAAGAAGCTTTTCTGTCCCCCACTCGTTACCTGTATGAATGGCACCTGTTTGAACTCATCATCTGTATAAAAGACACCTGTCCACAGCCTCAAACAGTCAGACTCCAAACTCCGCCATGGCCAAGACCAAAGAGCTTTCGAAGGACACCAGGAAAAGTATTGTAGACCTGCACCAGACTGGGAAGAGTGAATCTACAATAGGCAAGCAGCTTGGTGTGAAAAAATCAACTGTGGGAGCAATCATCAGAAAATGGAAGACATACAAGACCACTGATAATCTCCCTCGATCTGGGGCTCCACGCAAGATCTCATCCCGTGGGGTCAAAATGATCATGAGAACGGTGAGCAAAGATCCCAGAACCACACGGGGGGACCTGGTGAATGACCTGCAGAGAGCTGGGACCAAAGTAACAAAGGTCACCATCAGTAACACACTACAACGGCAGGGAATCAAATCCCGCAGTGCCAGACGTGTTCCGCTGCTGAAGCCAGTGCATGTCCAGGCCCGTCTGAAGTTTGCCAGAGAGCACATGGATGATACAGCAGAGGATTGGGAGAATGTCATGTGGTCAGATGAAACCAAAGTAGAACTTTTTGGTATAAACTCAACTCGTCGTGTTTGGAGGAAGAAGAATACTGAGTTGCATCCCAAGAACACCATACCTACTGTGAAGCATGGGGGTGGAAACATCATGCTATGGGGCTGTTTTTCTGCCAAGGGGACAGGACGACTGATCCGTGTTAAGGACAGAATGAATGGGGCCATGTATCGTGAGATTTTGAGCCAAAACCTCCTTCCATCAGTGAGAACTTTGAAGATGAAACGAGGCTGGGTCTTCCAACATGACAATGATCCAAAACACACCGCCCGGGCAACAAAGGAGTGGCTCCGTAAGAAGCATTTGAAAGTCCTGGAGTGGCCTAGCCAGTCTCCAGACCTCAACCCCATAGAAAATCTGTGGCGGGAGTTGAAAGTCCGTGTTGCTCGGCGACAGCCCCAAAACATCACTGCTCTCGAGAAGATCTGCATGGAGGAATGGGCCAAAATACCAGCTACTGTGTGTGCAAACCTGGTAAAGACCTATAGTAAACGTTTGACCTCTGTTATTGCCAACAAAGGTTATGTTACAAAGTATTGAGTTGTATTTTTGTTATTGACCAAATACTTATTTTCCACCCTGATTTACGAATAAATTCTTTACAAATCCTACCATGTGGATTCATGGATTTTTTTTTCACATTCTGTCTCTCACAGTTGAAGTGTACCTCTGGTGCAAATTACTGACCTCTGTCATCATTTTAGGTGGGGGAACTTGCACAATCGGTGGCTGACTAAATACTTTTTTGCCCCACTGTATTTATGAAAACAAAAAAACTAACTGAATGAAAACCATGTAGCTCATGTTCAAAAGTCTTTTACATATAATTTCCTGAACACATACCCACCCATGGATCTTGGATGGGTAAAATGTGACTTTATTGGAGCAATATTTGTTCAGTTTGTCATCAATTCATCAATGAACGATCAATTAAAAATAATCAATTCGGTGCAGCACTCATCTGCAGCTTCATCCTTTATGAGTGACGCCTACCTGCGTGTGTCGTCTCCTTCCCCCTCCAGGTCCAGATGTTTCAGCAGCCCGTTTATCTCCTCCACCACCTGTTTCCTGTAATTTCTGATCACCGCGTTCCCCGAAACATCCAGAGCGTCCAGCTCCACCTGCATCTCTGTCAGGATGCGTGACAGGTGGGCACAGCTGTCCCTCCCGCTCAGACCCATCAGCAGCGCCACCAGCTGGCTGCGGGCCACGCTCACCTTTACCATCACCTGGTTGATGCAGTTCACGGCCTCGTGGGTGTCTCCCGACAGCGGCAGGGAGAGGGTCTGCTGCTGCGTGCGCCCTTCGATCACATCCTGTACAGCGCAGAGGCGCGTTAGCGCCCGGTAGCGTGCTTTGCGGAGCGGCACCCTCCCTTCGGTCTTGACCTGAGTGAGCCTCAGCACGAGCTGCTGCAGAGCGTCCACCAACTCGTCGTTGATCTCTGTCACCCCGCCTGCTCGCTGCGGAGCCACGACGCGCTCGTCCACCAGCTGCCGCGCCTCGTAGCTTAGCTGTTCGATGGCCAGCCGGGAAGGATGGGTGGCGTTCTCTTCTAGATAACGCAGGAGTCCCTCCACCTCCTGAGCCGCTCTTTTTCGCGCTCCCTGCAGCTCCGGCTTGCCCTCTGTGTCCACCTGGTCCACATCCAGCAGCAGGCGGGTCAGCTCTCGCTCCAGACGCTTGTAGTCCCGATCGTTCTGAAGGCCGCTGAAGGTGCACACCTGCGGCCCCAGAGACGCCACCTCCTTCTGTATCTCGTACAGCCGCATCATGGCAGGGTGCTGCGGATGATATGCCGGCTGCTGCTGCTCCATTGGATGTTGTTGCTGCTGCTGTGGACCACCATGGTCCATCCTCTTCCCGCCATCAAAGGGCTTCCCAAACAGGCTGAAAAAAATGAAGCAGGAAAGGGAAGTCAGAACAATGAGCAACTGGAACAAACAGAGCCTCAGCAGACCGTATCAACAAGCCAACACAAACTCTGTAACCACATCCAGAGGCTGGAATCTTGAAGAAATCAAGAAGAATTTAGAACAACGTAGCATAAATGCCACTGGTCCTGTTGTCACACTAATTAGCATGTAAATAATGTAGCATTTGAGTTTTGCTCTATGGAAACAAGCACACGCCTGCAGTAGGATTGACCTTCTGACACAGCCAGGAAGGCTGTTATGAATCACTGGAGACTAACTCCCACTGGCTCACAAAAACAAAAAAGGATTTATTGTTGCTTGGCAAATTTGCAGACACATTTCTGTTTATATGTCAGAAAATTCCGCCTGGTGGCAAAAGTCATTAAACGGGATGACACTATGTTTAGCATCAGCAATCCTGACAATGTGCTGCCTCATTTTTGTAAAACTTCACTGTGAAAACTGAGCCTGCAGGACCAGTTTGCAAAAAACACTCCATTTGTTCCTAATTTCTTGCAGCGTTTCAGTCAAACTGTAACTCTCTGAAGATTTTTCACAGCCGATGTCGTCTGACACGATGCCATAAAAACACATTTGAAAGGATTCATTAAACTAAATGAGTTTAAAAAAAATAGTACTGTGTGGCGATTGGTTTTTTAGATACATTACTGTGCAAACGTCTTTGCACACCCCTCATTTTTTTATATTTTGCTTCCAAGGTGCCAGACTTTCTTGTCATTTTAAAAAAGCGTTCTTGAGTAACAGTTCTTCAGGCTTTCTGATGGTCTTTCAAAGTTTTTCTTTGGAAATTGGCTTTTTGTTTACTCATTTTCAGTGGAGTACTTGTACCTGACCATTTTCAGAGGAATGTTTAAGCTCCTTAATACTGATCTATGAATCACTCAAGCATACAAAAGGCATCTAACCCAAAGAATGAACCAGTGATGTGCCTACACATAATAGAAATCGTGGCAAAGAGCCCATTTTAAATAGTATCTTTAAACACTTTGTTTTTAGCAGCCTGTCACAAAAACACATCGGTCCTGTTTTTTTCTTGAGTCTATAAAAATGTTACAGACCACACATTTTGACAAACATAAAATAGTATTTTTGCACTGACATGGTGATTTTTAAAGGGCTATAAGCCAAAATGGAGACAACTGGAGGACAACGATGAAGTCGCAGGCCTAAAAAATTATCAGCAGCATCTGAAACTCAAATCCTCAAGAAACAGGAAAAATTTTATCATGTCCCCTTGCATTTGTGCCTCTACGATGCACGCTGGAGTCCCTACAGTTTCTCTAAACAGCAATGCTTCAACTCCACTTTCATTTTTTTTAAAAAGTGGACAGAGGCGTCGAAGTATGGCAAGTGATGAGCGAAGTGACGAGTTTCGGTTTGTCCAAGAAACTCTGCTCTAAACCTGCAGACGACTGCACGAGGGCCTGACCACAGTGTTGGTCATTTCATCCCTCAGACCCCTCAGGATTGGAGAATATGGCCTCTTCTACTGTAACCAGAGCCCCAGCTCTCAGCACCAGCAATGATCCTTCACATGAAAGTCAGGTCATTTTAGAAGTTCCTGTTTCCTCACTGGAGGAAAACTCAGAGCAAACAACACAAGCGGTCAGAACGAGAGAGCAATCTAAAAACATCAGCCAACATAAACAGACCAGAAGGGCCTGAGAGGATGATCCAGAAAGGGAGGCTGGCCAAATATAAATCAAATGAACATCAAGGTTGCTCTCCTGAACGAGCAAAGACATCGTGTTAAAGAGCTCAAAGACTGTGTCTATACATCTTTAACGTTCAGTAGTAACCTTATTTTGTCAGGACATGACAATAAAAAAAACCCCAAACTGATGACATCATCCAAAATCCCCTATATTTAATCAAAGACTTCTTTATGTTAAGAAGCACAATCCCTGTTCAGGCCAATGACAGCGCAGCTATAGACAAGAACAACTTCCCACATAATATACTCACACAAAATTCTGCCCTTACAACTGCAAGAAAACAAATGAGGTTAACCTACATTTAGTCTCGACAAGACAAACACCCACATGACAACCACTGGGAGCACTGCAGCGCGTTTCTATGAGATATATTGCCTGACGTGATCGTGATAAAGCTCTAATCCGCGTTAAAAGACGGGATCCAGATTCCTTTGCAGTGCGACTGCCCATCGAGCTTTTTAATACCGAGCAGAAAATAAACGCAGCTGACCAACACCCAAAAAATTTGAAACGGTTCATAGCGCCTCCAGAATGAATCTCCACACAGGAAGATTCGGTCAGACGGCCTCATTAAATGTGTCACAGGTGCCTTGAGCTCTGGAATATATTCCCAGTTAGACATTTAGAAAAATGCCATTAAGATAGAAGCATCTGCCTTTTAGTTTAGGATTAATAACACGGCTCTCGTGAGGGCTGAAAAGATTAAATCATCTTTTGCGTTTAAAAAAAAGAAGCTTTGCCAAACTCCAATGTGAAGATCTGCGGCTTTTCGTCCCTCTAAATAGATCATTTGTGGTTTGGTTGCGTATCTGATGACAACACAAAATTGAAAAGGTGAAATTACGTGAAAAAAGCAGCCACATTAAAGACAGAAAGAGCAACAGATGATGACGTGTTTCAGCCCTCTTTGCTGCCTCTTCTTTCTGTAATCATTTTACTGTCTTGTTGCAGTTGTGCACGTGTGCACGTCTTTAAGGTCATTTTGTACTTTTTATCCCATGAATGTGTCTATTTTAGACCTTCTGAGTCAATCTGCAACACCTGTGTGCACATCCACACAGTTTTGCTTGTTCTTTTGCTCATTTAGCGTGTTCTGTGGTTCCTTTTCCTTTCTTTTTCTGGTAGTTGTGTATTTTTATACTCTTGCTTTCTCTTGCAATAATTTTGAGTTGCTCTACTGTCATTTTGTGGCCCTTAAAAGTCATTCTGTGCATCTCAGTAGTTGTCGTCATTTCAGATCATCTGCACGTCATCGATCAGTTCCCGGGGGTCCTGCAAGTAATGGAGTACACAAAAGCAAAGCCTTGACAGCGGCTATGTACAAATCCATCACAGGCATGAACTGTTTGATTTCAGCCCTGTTCAGGATTTTGGATCTGTGTCTCTTTATAGCATCTTCATATCTCTGCAGATGTTTTGCATTTATTTGTGAAATCTTGGAGTCTTTCTAGCCACTCTGTACCAAATGTCATCTCTTTGTAGCAGTTTTGTTTCACCTTATAGGCATTTGTGTCTCTCAGTTTTCTTTGGGTTTTTTTTTCTTTTTTTTAAGGACAAACTGAACTGTTCAAAAATTGCTTTCTGCTATAGACGATCCCCCATTTAACCCCCCTGCTATGATGTTATGGTAAATGGCCTGTATTTGTATTTACTAGTCCCTAAGGACCCCAAAGCACTTTACACATCCAGTCATCCACCCATTCACCTGGGGCGCACTGACAGAGGCGAAGCTGCCGGACACTGGCGCCACCGGGCCCTCTGACCACCACCAGTAGGCAATGGGTCAAGTGTCTTGCCCAATGACACAACAACCGAGACTGTCCAAGCCAGGTCTCGGTGTTATGCTAAACACCAGAGCACACAGACATGAAAGGAAAGCTCTGCCAGCATGATTATTACATGTAAATACAGTAGCCGCCAGTATGATGTTTTGTTATCCAAAGCATCAATTAGGCTTATTAGCAATAGATAGGATTATGTATCAATGTTGCCTAAAGTACTTTTACATAACAGGGCGAGGGGATGGGCATTTCCACAAGAGTGGATGAGCACATGTCGGGCCAGAGCTTACAAATCTGAGTATTTATTAGGATAATCTCAGCAAAATCCACAGCCTGCCTTGTCTGAGCCAAGACAGACAAGGCTGATGTGGTGGTTTCAAAGCTAAGGGCAGGTTTGCCTCCCTCGTGGGAGGGAATCAGTCCTCCATTCCCATGAGTCTCGCTGCATGAAGGGTGACCGAGCTGCAGGTGACACGCATGCAACACCTCCTGCTTATCTCCCAGATAAAGGCTTCGAGCTCCATCCCCGGCTGCCTGCATGCTTGCCGGTCCTTCTGCACGGCTTTGCGCATTATGTCACCGCAGAAAATCCCGTCCTGCCGCCTGCGTGCGAACGCATCTACCTCTGAGAGCCCATGTATGTTGCCGGAGCTGCGCTACAAGAAGCACAGATACCACACCTCCAGATCTCGACAAAACGGCTCAAAGCATCTCCAGATGCTGTCAGCTGCATCCTTTCTCTCTCGTGCACACACGCACACATACACAGACAGATAGATATATACACACACACACACACAGAGCAGCATTCCTCTCACCTTTTCAAAACCCCGAACACATTCGCGCACATTTTCACGGATGTCTGTTTCCATCAGCCAAATGCTGGGCGGCTCGTGCAGGAAAGATGCATCCAAAGGGATAAAGCCGAAATCCGGGAGATCTCGATGCTCCTGCGGTCAGCTTCAGTATCCAGCGACTGACTGTGACTGACTGACTGCGGTCGGGCTGCTGTCGCCCCTCCCACAGCCTCTACCACCAGATTCCTTCCTCCGCTGCCCTTTAAAACAACTTAATTTAAAAATAAATATGCTACCAAGGACTCATGAAACGCTTAAATGGAAACAGCCATTACAAAAACCGGTTTACAGCAGACACTCCCCTGTGAATGCCATTGTTAGTGTGTTAAGCTAGCTACTGATGATCACCTGACACAGCCCCACCTCAGCCAAATAACTCTGGCTTTTCAGCGTAAATACATCAACACCGCCACCTCTCTTTAACAGTTTCGCTCTTACCTGCATAGCCAGCGTACAGCCATCGGAACTGTTGCGGAAAAGTGCGCACCTCCTGTGACTAAAGCTAAACATTAGCCTACCTAGCTACCTTCGAGTACTTACTTTACAGTTCGTGAGGATATGAACTAACACGGAGTTTGTGTTTCCTCGCTAATATTGAAGAGACGCCATTACATCACTGTTTTATTGATGTTAACAAATAAGAAATACAAGTCGATGTTTAGTTACCGCACGACACGTATATGCGGATGTAAAATAAATCGCATAATCCTGTTAATATTCGGATAAACAGCTTTACTATTTTTAACCTTGTGCAAATTTTGGTCGACCAACAATAGGCGCGCTTCATTTGGTCATGACTCCGCGTCGTTTAACGGTGCTAAGATAAACCCTGACTTTGCTACTGTTTAACTTTTACTTTAGTCTATTTAACTTAGTTAACAAAAAAGTTTGACGAGCATTATTTATTGTGTAGTAAAAAAAAACAACTAACTAACAATCTAGCATCTCCAACAATTCAATAACAGAACGAAATAGGCATTTAGATACTTTGTGAGAGTAAAAGTACTAATAGCGAAACCTACACAGATAATCCATGTGGTTTTCAAGTTTAATTCGACAATAATGATATTTATCAAGCTACGTTGAGCCCTGCTCAACTTCGTCTGCTCCAAGCAGGATCCAGACAAACCTCCTCCTCCTCCTCAGCCTGTTATCCTTAGCTCAGCTCCCCTCTCAACCTGACTCTGCTGTACAAAATGCAACATTTACCACTGAAATATAGTTATTAGAAGAAATATAGTATATAAATATAGTATTAGAAATATAGTATTAGAAGTAGTATACAAAATAATAATAATAATAATAATAATAATAATAATGATGATGATAATAATACAATACATAGGAAGGGCTGCAGCAAAGGAAAAATAAATATAGTGGGGATTTTTGCTTCATAGTGACTACATATGTATATTCCTAACATCTAATCTGGTTGACCTCTTTTTTTTTTTCTTTTACCCCTACAGCCGTTTTTTTCAATTCGTTTATTTTTTAATAAGGAAAAAATGTGACTTAAGCTTAAATAAATAAACAAATAGATAACATAGACATATATTTATTCCCCACATTACTTTCTGTTTTGGCTCTTTCTGTAGTCTTACATTTAAAGAATATCCTAAACTGACAAGAAACCTTTTTTCTGTTGTCGTTTTTTAAGTGAATCCGGGATTTACCGGTGAGATTGCCGAGCGCATCCATGCTCCTTGTTGGGCTCACGTGACCAAATGGCAGGCAGTTGTACAGAGAAGGGCACGAGCTCAGTGAAAGTTTGGTTGTGTCCTCGAGCTCAGTCTTGTGCTGTTTAGTGGTTTTTGGCGTGATTTGTTTTATTTAAGTCGCTTTTTTAGAGTCGGCTTGCAAAAATGGCCGCCAGGACAGCTGCAGCTGCGAGACGGTCGACATGGAGGAGCTTCTGTCCTTCCAGTCTCCGCTTATCTGCAGGTAGCAGTCGGCTCTGCAGCTCCAAACAGGCAACCCAGAAGGACAAGCCAGTAAATGTTTGTATAATGACAATTTATTACATTTATACACCGTTTAAAGGGCTGCCATTTGTTAGCTATAGACGGCTGGGTTGTTGTTGTTGTTGACGATCACGTGTGGCGCCATTTTTTTATGCCCACATTAAAGACGTGTGTACGAAATAAGCTGTTTTTTAAAAATAAATTTTAAACGTTGCAGGAAATAAAGTGTTATTGACAAAAATATATTGCAGTGCTTTAGACTTTATTAGGGTTAAATCGGTGTTACAACGTCTGTTTTAATGATACAGTTGTAGTATAAGTATTTGTAGGAAAATAATTGAGAACAATTTAAAATATTATGGTTTAAAGTTATATTTTAAGACCTAAAGTGTCCAGCAATACATCTTCTTAGATTTCACTTTTTTTTACCCTTTCAAAATCACATGCATTTGTTGGAGTTTGTAACTGCAGATGTTTAATGACTGTTTAATAATACAGTATTTCTTTAAAAATGTAAATACATCTACTTTACATATAAGCGTGCATTGATATGCCTGTCAGTAATCAGACTGAATTTGCTGACCCAGTGTTTTGCATTTGGATTGTTTTACCTCTCTTTTCGTCTCTTGGCCCTGGAGCGTTTTTTATTCCTCGCTGCTTTTTCCATCTTGAAGTCTGCTCGGTAATGATAAGCTGTCTGGTGGAGGTCACTGCCCATTTAAAGCCACGTGATGTGCATCTGCTGTGTGGAGTGTCAGTCTTTAGCAGACTGTCTTTAAACCTGAGTTCCAGATGATATCTGCATTTTTCATTAGTACAGATGTGGCTGTGTTGGTGATGCTAACTTTGCATGTGGAGTTCAAACTACATGGTATTTGTGTCTGATGAGCTCATCGTTGTCATATGGGGTTTGCATAGGTGAAATTTGGGACATCTTCAGCCTTCTGACTGTTGTCACCTGCAATTCTACGCTCAACTTTTGTGTTAGCACCCTGTATCTTTCCCGTTAAGTTATTTTTGTGCTGATACTGTGTTGTCTGAACCCATCGTTACTGTAGTGTCTTCTTTTTTTACATAGAGATCTACATATAGACCAGAACCCAGCTCCACACATGACTGGGTCGGTCCACCAAACTCGCTCTCCAACATACGGCCAATTATTTACCACATCCCGGAGAATGAAACAGAGCTGGAGAAACGGCTGAGAAACCTGAGGCAGGACACAGAGGACTGGAACCACAATTTCTGGGCCAAGCAGAACATCACCTTCAGCAAGGTTACTGAAATACTTTTTAAAAAGTGTTTCTCTGGGGTCAGGGACTGGCCTCTGAAAACTAGTTTGTCTAGTTTTTGGAAGTCTCATTTGTAGGTGGGGTGAAAAGCCAGTCCCTATGGAGGGTAAGGGGGGTATTGTCTAAAAATAGGGAGCACAGTGTAGAGAGAGAAGCACGCATAGTGCTGCTTTTAACTGTTGAGATGGAAACTAACAAAGATACCATGGGGGAATTAATTGTTCGATCCCCTGCTTTATTTATACGTTTTCTCGCGTTTTATGGTAGCTTCATTTTAATGAAGGGAGACAGAATATTCCCAAATCCCAAAAACAAAACACTCAAGTGAGTCGACATCCCTCCTGAGATGTCAATATTTTCATAGAAAACTAGAAAGTTGTGATAAAATTGGTTCTTTTAAGTCATCTGAGCACATGACATGTAGTTTGGAAGAGAATAAAATTCATTTAAGGCTAGTTAGATCATCAGTTAAGACTGTGCTGGCTGTTCTGTCCTTCTGAAAATAAGCTGAAAGGTGGTGGGTGGTGTAAAGCAGGCATAGAAGCGGTTGTTGGTTCATTGTGGGGCAGGTGATTTCAGAGTATGAATAAGAGTGGGAAGTTGATGTGCTCCAAGAAAACCTTTAATCACAGAGGAAGTGGAGTCTTTAGTCTTTGCAGAGAAACTGAAAGTTACTCCTAAATTAAATTCCTAAATTGTTTGTGATATTGTCCTTAGAGCATAAAGATGATGTCTTCCAATTTATTACAGTTAATATATATTTATGATGGTAATTGTTGGCCTGTATTTGTATAGCGCTTTACTTAGTTCCTAAGGACCCCAAAGCGCTTTACACTACATTCAGTCATTCACCCATTCACACACACATTCACACACTGGTGATGGCAAGCTACATTGTTGCCACAGCTGCCCTAGGGCGCACTGACAGAGGCGAGGCTGCCGAACACTGGCGCTGGCAGGCCCTCTGACCATCACCAGTAGGCAACGGGTCAAGTGTCTTGCCCAAGGACACAACGGCCGAGACTGTCGGACTGCTCGAACCGGCAACCTTCCGATTACAAGACGAACTGCCAACTCTTGAGCCACGATCGCCCCATGATGATTCATATTGTCCTGCTACTGCTGCTATTTATTTCATATGCAGCCATGCCGTACTGCCGCTTAAATCCAATGAATCAAATTGATATTAGAAGAAAATTCATCTGTAGCTGTTACAAAACCAAACCAGGTGAGCGATCCCTGTCGGCTTGTTAGTTCACTTTTCTTAAAAATAAAATGGAAATTAAATTAAACACGATGAAGTCCACTAACCGCATTATCTTCCCTGCCAACTTCCTACTTGCATTAGAATCATGCTGTAATTTCCATCATTATTAATGGAGACTGTAATAGCAGTGGATGTAATTAATCTGTGTGCTGAGCTCGTATGTGTGTAAAATCATTTCACCAGTAGAGGGCAGCATTGCATAACAAATGTGTTCTGTTAGGGCCCAGCTATGTAAGAGGTTACAGTGAGGAATAATTGACTGTAGGTTTTATGTGGACCCCAGTCCAAATCTGATTTAACGACCTTTTAATTAACTTTAAGACTGACCTAATTTAAAGTTACAGTTAAATCTTAAAAGGTTTGTTTGTTGTTTGTTTGTTTTACACTGTCTGCAGGAAAAAGAAGCTTTTATCATTTCACAGCTGAAGGCAAAAGGCTTGACTCTGCGTGATCAGGACGGTGAGGACATGCAGCCTTTTCTGAATATTTCACATTGTTGGTTGGGTTTGCACTTAGACAGTATTTAACCAGCTCAGATGGGTGTACTATGAAACAAGATTACTGGGTGAGTGATGTAAGTCGACCTTGATGTAAGTGAAGGGGCCGCCTTTATACCTGGCTAGATCACCATGGTAACTTATGCTGACCACATCCCTGGTTTGTACCAGTTTATTTTTAGAGTTTCGATTTAAAGTTTTCACAAATTCTTTTAGTTACAGTGTCTTACAAACACAATATTGAGTCTCTGCTAAATGAATACAAATATTTGCAGTCTGTAGAGCTTAAGACTGCAGAATGAAGCTCAGCTGTGAGGTTACAGATAATTCAAACTACATCATATTATCACTGGACTTTCCAAATATTCATATTTGGATGACGATGCAGAAAATGTTTAGTTTTTTGTTGGTGTTTTTTTTTTTTTTTTCCATTGGCTACCAAGCCTTAAAAAAATCAATGCTAGAGTTGCAGTTTATCATTAGTAAACTAAAGTAATCCCACGTCTCCTTCGTTAGGCTGTGGGTGAATTGTCAGAGCTGAACACAGCGAGAGCACCGATGTGTGGCTGTGACATCAGAGATAAACATTGAAGCTAAGCTTTCAGCTCTTGTGATGATCAAAACACTAAATTAACAATTTTCTGCAGCATTACTCATACTTGCAGCACCAGGGTTGCATTTTACTGCATTTATTTAACATTGTTAATAGACCTCTATCCCCCATTCATGTGATAATGTCTCTGATTGGAGTAAGTGGTGCTCAGTTGACCCATCCGGTGCCGTCTGAAGTGTCAAAAAACACATCAGACAGCCCTTTTTATGTGAGCACAGAAAACCGGGGTTACCAGAGAGAGTTAATAACCACTGGTGTGATGCCTACTATCGCTGACTGAGGTTTTTTTGGTCAAGTCAGCCAACACAAAGAAACCCTGGCTTTGTCGAACTTGCTTCATAACCTACCCCTCAGGAGGCACAGTAAACAGCAGTTTGTTTTTCTAACAGCTGGTGAATTGCAGGGGAGATGTATCCTAATGAGAATATAACGCAGTCTGCTGTGTCTTCCCTCAGGACGACGGCGGTCCCTGAACAGCGAAGAGATGGCCACGTTTTACAAAAGCTTCCTGGACAAAAACAGAGTACGACATGCAAATTACAACAAGTGAGTTGTTTTGTCTCCCATGATGCTACTGGGTGGGTGAGTAAGTGAGTGGGTGGGTGGGTGGTTGGGTTGTTCAATGTCCCTCTGCAGCAGCTGTGAGCTTTAACTGCACTGCATTAACTGATCGGCAAAGAACAACAAACCTCACAGGCTATGAAGAAGTTTTGTGTGAATTAGCAATGCAAAGTGGCTGACTTGTCTTCATGTTGGCAAAGCTTTCCGCCCACACACATCACCTCAGCAGCATGTGTGGGATTTAATCTCTGACTTTTGATTGTTATATTTATTGTCGTTTCAATTTAAACTCCATCAAAGCACAAATGTTCCCCTTTTCTTCCTTCGGGTGTTATTGTGCATTTGCCCGTTTGAATCTTTATATCAGCATATTTATTACACTGTGCAAAGTGAAACATTCTGTTTTTTGTGTATCCAGGGAATGGTACAGACGTAACTTTACCATCACCTTGCTCTTGGCTCGAGTCACCCTAAACAGTATGTGGAGGACAGTTACGGAAAGACAGAGCAGCAAGAAAAACGGCACTCCTACCAGCTGATAGCAAAGAAAATACACACACCCCCACCCTCCTGTCAAAATATCAAATGCCTTGGCTATATTTTTGTCACTTCTGTTACTGCTTCATGTTTATTCAGACTCTGCAAATGACTGTAAATTATTCTGGAAAAAATAAAGCAAAGCAAAACATGTGAGGTATTTCTTTTTAATTAATAGTTTTCATCATGTTTTAATAGTTTAAAGTATGGATTGTTATGTCATGGTCTCTTTGGTCAAGAGGGTTTTTGTTTTTTTTCTTGGTGCAGGGGTTATAGATACATTATAAAGCAGCTGTTACACCCAGTTTGTGTCAAAACAAAGACAACCTGTGATATCCTCTCAGTGAGATCGGTGCTGACCACCTACGATAAATACAAGAAATTAAAGAATGTGAGTGTAAATGGTTATCTGTCTCTCTCTCTTTATAAGACCTGGGACAGACCACGACCTGTCCAGGGTGTACCCCGCCTTTAGCCCTATGTTAGCTGGGAAAGGCTCCAGCCTCCTGCAACCCCTTAACAGAAGATGGATGGACAGTTATTTTCCAGATGAATCATTTGGTCTAAATATTTTTGAGACCTGGAATGTAAATGTGTCTGTCTCTAAAGCACTTTGGGTTAACTGTATTGTAGGCTACAAAAAACTAGTGACAGTTAACACAAAAAGGGACAAACATTTCATAGTACATGTTTGATGTTTTTCTTTTTATTTCCAAATAAATAAAATAATTATTCGACACAATTCAAATATTTGGATCGATCCGCCTACCTCTAACCTCTACCATAAAATATCTAATGAACCTCCAATTTAACAATTTTACCATTATAGGCATAGGCTACTTTTATTTAAGTAGATATATTGGAGTATTGTGCACCATGCACTTTGTGCTTCTTGTTTTTCCGGTAATAAATATGGAGCCTGAACTCGCACCACAGCTTTCCCTTTAATCTGGCCTGGATGACATCAGTGCTGCCAGAGGAGCAGGGGGGTGCCGGGTAACGCCATTTTCGCGTACTGTGCGGTTAGTCATTCAGCCAGCTACAGCACTGAGGAGCTGTCATCTCCATGGGGGACTAATGAACTTTTTATTCCGCCCCATGAAGCCCTTGTCAGGCTAGTTTGACAGAGCAGTTCCTGTCATGGAAGCAGCGGAAAATACTCGCTTCTCCTGAACGGCTGACTGAAATCGCTGTTTTGACAGATAGCTAGGTGATTAGCTATGTAGCTAGCTGGTCAACATTAACGAGGTTGATGCAGTGAAGCCCGGCGTCAGAAGGCAAAACACATCCTAGCAGACAAAGACAGTGTGAAAATTGTTTTTTTTAACTTAGTATATTTCTTACGCTTCTTTTACACTCTACACGGGCTGTCGGCCAAAAGAAAAAAATCCCATTTAGAAAAGACGTGATTTAAAAGGGGAAGAGGAACATTGAAGTCGAGCTACATTGGCAACGGATGTCCCAGAGAACGGTAAGAATGGCTCCGTGTATTACTTGGAATGCTGTTAATAGCTAATAAGCCACTTGCTTCTCTTATCACGCGTTTCTTAAAGTGTCATTTACCAAAACATAGGTATGTATACTACTAACGTTATGTAGTCTTTGTAACCATTTTTTATGGAATTGTCTGCTTGTTCTGTGGTCGGTGTTTACGTTAGTTGCAGGAATTAGACATCGCAAGCACATTAACTCATTTAGAGGGCTAGGTCGGAGTTGGCCCCGAGGTTTGGTCTGTGTTACAAGAAAGTATGGTTTAACTGGTTCTTCAGGTTTAATCATTTGTACGCTATATAGCTCGGACAAAGCAGCACAAACTTACAGCGACACGGACCCGACTAAAACACGCCTGTCAGCCTGTGGAAACGAGCTTCTGTCGGCTACTGCGGTGGGATTAAATCTTGATGATGACCATTTGTCATGTGATAGTTAGCTGTATCCTTTCATTGATATTCAGAGGGGAGTCAGAGCTGTGAAAGCTGCCTGTGTTGCGCAGACAGCTTTAGGGGGACAGTGGATCTCACTGTGGTACCCACAGCTGGGAAACCAAAAAGACTGAGAAGCATCTATGGATATTTTGAGATTTGGGGCAGTTTGGGGGTATGTAGTTACACATTTTCAGTCTGCACGGAAATACACAAGCATTCTTCTCTGCCCTGCCATGTTTAACGTTTAATACACCCAAAGGTGCACTCATGACAACCTGCAGGGCCCCTCCCTAAGGGCTAAACACCCCCTTTGCTACACCTGAGGCAGCTTGTTGTCGGCCCAGATGAGTGGGTTGAGTGCTGCTGGGTAGCAATGACAGTTTTGTGTGGCTGCAGCAGATTTGATTTTAATGGCTGCAGGTTTTACTTCACTTCTGCAGATGAGCACAGCAATGAGTACAACTTTGTTATTATTTCCAGGTTCCCAGAGCTGGTTAATGGTGAGGTCTTAAAATCCCCCCAGCCAGAAATCAGGTGGTTTTCTGTTGATGAACTAATAGAAGAATTGACTGGTTATTAGCACAAAACGAGATGTGAATGAGCATACAAATAACATGACCTCACTAAAATCTTACACACCTGCATTCACATCTACTGTTGCTTACTGTGGTGTAAATTGTGCATTAATAGCTGAATTACTACACAAGCAATACTTGTTTTTCTTTCTTTTTTGTTTTTTGGCATCAATAATGATCTATGGCCAATATTTTACATAAATGCAAACCATAATGGATATTTTTTTCAAGCTTTTTTTCCTTTCTTTGCACAACATCAATTTTATGAATGGTGCCCACACATCTCTCTCTCTCTCTCTCTCTCTCTCTCTCTCTCTCTCTCTCTCTCTCTCTCTCTCTCTCTCTCTCTCTCTCTGTCTGTCTGTCTGTCTTAATCAAGTAGGGTTTCAGTGGATCTAAAGATCTTTATTTGTTAGTAAAAGTGACTGTCATTTCCTTAAACCAACCTCTATGAAACTGGCACTTCCTTTTTTTCATCTATTTTAAGACCAGGGGCTGTCTGTTTTTGTGAAACATTAGTGACTCTAGTAGGATAACACTGGGTAGCACCATGTTAAGGTTGCAACCTTTTGCTGCAAGAAAAGAACAGAAAACCAAGAGCACTAATTCACCTAATATACTGTAGTGAAAAGTGAGTGATATTCCTCACAGGCCTTTGATATGAAGTTAGCTTATGGGCTATGGTAAATAACATCATGACGGCCAGATAATTATTAAGAAGGTTTTAGCATTTTATTAGCAGCAATCTCACTGAATTGGATAGTCTTTGATTTTTCTCTAAGTGGTCCTAAAATTCCTAATTTTAAACTTCCTAATCTTTTAATCTTTTAAGATTTATGTCAAGGAGATGTTCACATATCAACACTGACAGGTTTATTGAGAAGCCTGGGAGGAAGTTTCCCATTCTAAACTCAGCTGACCTCAAATATTACAGACTTAGAATTTAAAACTTTAATCCACGGAGAGTCTGCAGAAAGTCATATAATAAAATCAGCGAGTGTCTTTCTGAATCATTAATCCTTTGGGTTGCTGGAGTAAGAAGCGGTACCACTGCCAGCTCTTTGGATCACAGCATCTTAAACTGCTTCACTTATTTGAATGATACATTTTATCTCTTGCTCAGAGCTTGCACATGCAAAAGTAATTTGGCGCTCTTGTCACTGGAGTTCTTATCAGAAGTAAGAAATGGTGATGACACAGTTTAACACGTTAAAACTGCAGCAAGTGAATTCACACGATGATTTGTTTTGTTTTTTTAGACAGCAAGGTTTTCTGTTGGGTTCATTTAGAACACCACACTCTCTTTGTTGTCCTAATCTGCACCCAGGACTAAATTTGTTCATTGTTAACACCAGTCACACAGGTCATTTCCTGTTTCTCACCGGTACAATGTCATGTTGTGACTTTCCGATTTCTTAAACCCTTTTTTGGTCTCTGAAACTAACCAAATGAGCTAAGATTCACACTTAGCTAATAGCTAGTGATGTTTTGTAGAATTGAGGCCACATAAAACACAGGGATACAGCACAATATATACAACAGACTATTGTTACAGAAGCTTTAATTGATGCGTCTATTTTAATGTGAAAAGAGTCATCGATTTGGATGAAGGGTGCCCATTAGCTTATTGTTTTTGCTTTGTCAAAAGTTGAATCCTGACTTTACAGTGATTATCGTGGGTGTTTTGTTTTTTGTCCACAGCAGGCAGATAAGCACTACCTGTTCTCCAAACAATTAGAGCTGGTGGGGAAATAAAAAAGCTTAACAGCGAAAAGATAGATAGAAGTAAGACGGGAATAAAGACGAGACTACTTGGCATTCGGCTGTAAATGAGTGCTTATACTCAGAGCTAGTAAATGTATTCAGACTGGGTGGGACAGATTTGTGGTGTGTTGTGCTTTCCTTTGTCTTCAGCCAGGGAAAAGTATTGAGCTGCTGTTATTAACTACCCTATCCAGTTCTTTGAGCTATTTGTACCAGACAGACTGGTACGAGGTTCTAAACAGTAAATGTTGTTTTGTTTTTTCTCTCCTTTATTTACAGGGAACAAGTAGAAGAAATGCTGTATTATTTAAATTGTGGGTTGAGCAGTCAAACAAACAAAGCTTCAGTAAAATAGTTCAGTAAAAGAAACTTTTAGAGGCTCTTTGTTCTTCTTTTTTTATTAAATAAAGCAGCTGTGCCCACACTTTGCTGACTAAGACTGTTCTTCGAGTGCTGCTTTTCTGCCGCCGGCTCCATCCTCATGCATAAAAACCTACACTTACTTTCTATTTCACTTCTCCATCGGTCCCAACCATAACTCCTTCCTCATTTTTTTCCCCCTCTATCCACTGCCACCACGTTTGTCTTCAGCATCCCCATCACCTCAGATAACCGCCTTAGCATGCTTACATAAAGAACTGCAGCGTCTCCGGGTGCTGCGCTTCAAGCAAGCTATTTACATTTCAAAAGTTGACTTTGAAAATAGTTTTCCCTGCCTTCCTCCTGTGGTGCTTTATGTGTGGAGACTGATCTAATCCCAGAGATAAAAGACTGTTGGATCTGAACAGGAAAACAATGCTTATGCTGTCACTCTCACTTCTGTATTACATGGCCTGTAGTGGTAACGGTCGCCTCTGTAGTTCTTTGTGGTTTGGGTTTCTGCTATTTATGCAAAGATTAAATGTGAAGATTAGTTTCTTAGATTTTTCAAATATGATGGCACCTAAATACAGTGGGGCAAAAAAGTATTTAGTCAGCCACCGATTGTGCAAGTTCCCCCACTTAAAATGATGACAGAGGTCGGTAATTTGCACCAGAGGTACACTTCAACTGTGAGAGACAGAATGTGAAAAAAAAATCCATGAATTCACATGGTAGGATTTGTAAAGAATTTATTCGTAAATCAGGGTGGAAAATAAGTATTTGGTCACCTCGAACAAGGAAAATCTCTGGCTCTCACAGTTGAAGTGTACCTCTGGTGCAAATTACTGACCTCTGTCATCATTTTAGGTGGGGGAACTTGCACAATCGGTGGCTGACTAAATACTTTTTTGCCCCACTGTATATTTGACTAGGGGAAAAAGCCATGTAAATATTTTACCTTAAATGTATTTTGTGGAGTTGGAGAAAGCTGGGAAGTAGTTTGGGAATTATTGGTCTGTTGTTGCAGGTTGCTTTGGCGCAACCATAGTGAGACCTTGGTTTACATTGCAGGTTATTAGCTAGTGTCGAAGTGGGTTTCAGACTTTGCCCAGGGCTGGGCTTTTGTCACTGATTTTGGTGGTCTCCGGGTCATGTCTGTGCTTTTTCCAGATGATGTGATCCCATTGACCTCATTGAGCATCAGGGTGTTTTGCAGCTGAGGGTGAATTGGCTGGGATGAAATCTGAGGCCATGGCTCACTTTCCAAACAGCTGAAAGGAGGAATTTGTGGATTAAAAATGGTGCAAAACGAGTTAATTCTTAAGGTCATTCAAGCTCACTTTTATAGATCTGGTGAGGATCTCGGTCATTTGGGAGTGGTTCAGAATAGAGCTGCTTGTCTTCTCTGAAAGGAACCAGTTAAGGTGGTTTGCACATCTAATTGGAACACCTAAATGGCTTTTAGGTGAGGCTTTTGTGCTGTGTCAAACTGGGAGGAAGTGGTGGAGAGATTATGTCTATCCAGACTCTGTATGCAGGGTGGGAGGTCAGGGCACTCTTGGTTTAGAGTGCCGCCTCTGTGACTCAGAAGTTGCAGAAAATGAATGGATTGAAGGTTCTGGGAATTTTTTTTTCTGATAAAATGACTGACATATAAGCAGTGGCCCGGTTTTCGATAAAGGGTTAAGAGAATAAAAAATGAGAAATGCCCATTTAACTTCCCAAAGCTCAAGTTTGAATATTCAGAGTTCTTCTTGTGCCTAAAACAGTAGTCGAAATTTCAGTAAATCCTTTCTGTACATTTCTTACTTTTTTCCTTCTTTAAAAAGATTTAATTCAGTTGAAAGAGCTTTTTCTGTTTCATTTTCTCTGAAATACAGTTTTTTTTGTAACTAATAGTAATACAGTTTTCAGTACAAGAAAAATCCCTGAAAGTCTGGCTTTTTATGGATCTTGCTAATAACGCATTTGAAAGCTTTTCCTGTATTTGCCAAGATAATTTCAAATGCAACCCATACTTCACCGTTCTTTTTGCCTGGAGCTGCTCTTTTCCACCTCCTTCTGCAAGCAGCTTCCTGCTTCCTGCTCAGCTGATAGGCTGCAGGGCCGGTTGCTGAGTCACATGGAGCGATCAGAGCTGCTGCCCTTCCTCGGTCTGTCTCGTCTCAACGTATTTTTTACCTCGTTGTTTCCTCTTCTTTAAGTAAAATGTGAAATCTGCTCAGGGCAAGTCTGCAGTCTCCCTTTGACATCATAGCGGCTTTTCTACTGAGGTAGGCTCGGTCGGTTCAACTCACTGTGTCACTGCACCGTCAAAGATAAGACCAATGTTGGCTCATTCACACCCACGGGTTTTCTTTCTGTATTTTTCAATGGAACATACTTTAAAATGTAACTTTATTCAGTGTTTCTGTAATTATTCAGCTGAGACCGTGCCGTTTCAGTCGTGTGTGCTTGCAGAGATTTATTAGGCAGCTCGCTACAACTGCTGCCAAAGCGCTCAGTCATAATCCTCTTATATATGTGTGTGTGTCTGTGTGTGTGTCTGTGTGTGAGAGATGAATATATAGCAGATAAAGTCAGGAAGGAGTGCATAGTGTGTTGAGAGAGACAATAGCAGCACTATTGTTATGGGCGACTCATGAATGAGTCTGGGGTCTGTATGACTGTATTTTGCAGCTTCTGGGAATAATAGTTGTTTACATTTTATAGTAGATTTTTCTGAACTTGGATCATAGTAGATTGTCAGCTGACTAGATACGAGTGCAGTTAATAGATGACGATCATAAAAGAAAATGTGACGGCCAACATTTGTTTAAAGTGGTCAAAGTGAGTTTGTTGTGCAGCAGAAAATGTCTACAAGTTCCTCTGAGTTTTCCTGTCTGTCCCCTCTAATCTGTTATCTGTAAACCACTCACAGACCACAAACCTCAGATCCGGGTTTTACTGTCAAACAGGCACAACATTTAACTTCTTTGGTTTGGTTTAAACTTTTAATGACAGCTGAACCTAAGACCCGCTTTTTATTAAACAATCTTAAATGGTGATTCTTAAGTTTGTTTGTTTTTTGTTTTGTTTTTAGAACACTTTACAAGTGGTAATCTTCAATCATGCTCCGTCTTCTACTACAAACCTCTGCTGATGCTGCTCTCACGAGCTTTTCAAAACAGGTGCTTCAGTCAGGGCCTCTTTTCAAGGCACCTTTGTGTGTAGAGCTGAAGAAGCACAGACTTTTCCTACCAATTCCCTCAAAGTGAGCTTCCTACACCCCTGTCCCAGTAGCCGTCCAGTCAGAAACACATTGTCTGACCTTTTCATAAACCAGAGCCGTTTCTCACTTGCAGCATAATTGATTTTATGAGATGAGTCATCGTCATGAAAGGCTGTTTATTTGGCCATGAGACAAGAAAAGGTCAGAGGATTGTGACTTTGAAGAAAAAGGTTACCTGTTTGTCCTTTAACCACTATGTCACATTTCTGCTGAATCCTGTTTTCATGGTCTGCTGTTAGTTTTTTACCATGTTAAACATCTGTGACAGTCATAAGACAAGTGGATACCATCTTTACATGACAACACGCTGTTTTTAGTGTCCGTAGAAAATTCCTTTCCCTCCCTCATTAGAGCCTGTAAGGAATCTTGTGTTATGAGGACTTCCAAGACAAAATATTTTAATGCAACCTTTTTTCCTGTTATGTTAATTTATTCGCTTTCTCTGCAGGATGCGTGAGGACATGTCCACCATGGTGTGTGTGAAGGAGGAGGAGGATCCTGGGGAGAAGCTGTCCCAGGATGAGATCATTTCCCGGACCAAGCAGGTGATTCAAGGATTGGAGGCCCTGAAGCAAGAGCACCACTCCATCCTGGAGGGCCTTCTGGGCACGTTGCGCTGCCTGAAGCAGGATGAGGAGGGCGTTCTCGTGGAGGAAAAATCACACATGATCCGCAAGTCCCTGGAGATGCTGGAACTTGGGCTCAGCGAGGCTCAAGTATGTGTGTAGAGCTTCAGTGATTGGTTAATATCACTATGGATGTTAGACTGTTCTGTTATTCATTTAGGTTGGTCTGGGCAGGAGATTCAGGCAACAAGCAATTTAATCTACATGTCTTTTAACAAAACATAATAAGAAGGCAAGCTGTTTGTGTGGTTACACATTTAAATCTTCCCTTTTTAAGTTTAAGGATAGTAGGTTCTCTTCTTTCTACTTTCTACTGTGTAGAAAGGACAGCAGAGGACAGCAGGTGGTTTTCACCTGGATAATTAATATCACAAGTTCAGTGAAAACAGCAAGAATCTTGCCTTTACTGAACACCATCTTTCCTTGCAATAGACACAGTAAAAGGTAAAAATATATTCAAGTCCATAGTGGATTAGATCATTAGAATTCTCTTGACACGGGAGTGTTTCTCTCTAGCTTGTAATTCTACTTTTTGTTTGGTCGATTGGGGAAAAGAACATATAGAAGCTTTAAAGCCTTGAAATTATGCAGAATATTTGCTCTCGTCATTTCACTTCACATTTCATTTCACAAGCAGTGAATGAGTCAGCGCTGATTCATTGTTGATGCTTTAGCCTTTCATCGCCATCTCCCAGCAAGCTTTGTCTAATAAATATACAATACACCGTGCACACACCCCACAGACTGAATTTTCTACCTCCAGCATTTTTGCTTGGAGTTGTGGTAAAGTGTAATTTTCCTGCTCAAACACCCCTCATCTAATTACAGCCCTCCGAGCCTTTCACCTTAGACTGTATGCTTTTACCCAAAGTGCCTCACTCTAACATTAGTGGACACACATGTAGTTGTGATGGCAAGTGCACACTTACCCCTAGATAGCTTTACTATCTACCATCCACATGGCTTTGGTGGAATTGTTTTAGTAGACAACCTTCTACTACATATATTAGTGTAAATGTTGTTATGAGAGGATAAACCCAACTGTAAATACAAAAGGGTCTGTATGATTGCAGACATTGCAACATAACCGCCACCTCTTTGCAGGTGATGATGGCGCTTTCAAACCACCTGAGCTCAGTTGAGTCTGAGAAGCAGAAGCTGAGGGTACAGGTACGGCGACTCTGCCAGGAGAACCAGTGGCTAAGGGACGAGCTGGCCGGGACACAGCAGAAACTGCAGAAGAGCGAGCAGAGCGTGGCTCAGCTGGAGGAGGAAAAGAAGCACTTGGAGTTTATGAACCAGCTGAAGAAGTACGACGAGGACTTGTCCCCCTCTGTGAGTGCTCAGGGCTTAAGAATGTGTTGCGATGCTTTTATCTAAAATATGCGTGACCATCTTATCATTGGAACCAATATTTTGGGGGGTTTTCCCCCCAAGCACCTTATCAAAAGCAGATACAATCAAAAGATGTCAGTATACACCATCTCACACGTTTTAAGTATGTGTGATCTAGACCCAAACTACAAAATGACTCTATCTGCTAATAGATTGGCAGTGTTTCTCGCGTCATTTAGAAACATTCAGCTATTTCATGAGCAATATCTCCTCCTTTTTGCTTTTGGTCCTCTCTCCCTTCACTGATCATCCTGCTTGCTCTCTTCCTCTCTCCCCTTTCAGGAAGAAAAGGATTCAGACTCTACCAAAGAGACTTTGGATGATCTCTTCCCAGATGATCAGGATGATCAAGCCCCAGGCAGTAAGTGCTGTACTTCTTCATCCTCTTTCTGCTTTGAGAGACTTTCACTCAATTTCTTGTCCTTGGATCCAAATATGAAATATAGTTTTTGGGCTTGGGATGTAGATTTCAGTGGCACACTCTTTATTAACTCCTAAATACTTTTGCAACTATAGAAAGAGAGAGCTGTGAGAGCTGTAAGTAAACTACTGTTTCCACCATATTAAAAAGTGGCATCTGAATGCTGTGACATGTAGTTTTAGTTTTTTAATCCCTGATAGACTCTACAGTTTTACCGCTGTAAAATTAAGATCGCCATGGGAACAGAGCTTTGCATCAGCAGCTGTCTTGTAATTTACTGAAGCTGAATCAGTGGATGTTTCCAGAGTCAGATAAATTGTGTAATACATGATGACAAGTTCTGGTGGTGAGCATGTTTGTGTGTCCAAGTACCACTCTCTTTCAAACATGTATGCGCCAGTTTTTTATTGCTGCCATTGTTTGTTACCAGCCTTTTGCTCACTGTTAGATGGGCTGGTCTTTTCAGTAGCTCATGATGTAAGACCACAAAGCTTTATGGCTGTAAAGCCCCATTAGTCAGGACCTAGTTGAGCCAGTGAAGTTGTGGCTCTGGATATCAAGAAAGGACTTAAAATGTAAATGTTTGTTATATCATGGTAAAAAGAGGAACCCATAAGAACTTCTCATCCATTATTTGGTAACATGTTATGTATCTTATATTACATTATTATAGTCAATTTCCAGGGGAGTTTGGTGGCGCAGTGCTTAGCAATGTTGCCTCAGAGCAATAAGACAGCAGTGGTTTGAATCCATTATCTGGCCAGAGCCTTTCATGTGGAGTTTGCATGTTGTCCCTGTGTCTGTGTAGGATGTCTCTAGGTACTCCGGCTTCCGCCCACAGTCCAAAGATAAGTAGTTACTGGGATGATTGTGTTGGCAATTTTAACTGGTAATTCTAAATGGGTCATAAGTGTGAATGTGAGGTGAAAGTCATTGTCTGTGTTAGCTCTGCTCTCTGTCCGGGGCTAGTGATAGGCTTCAGCAACCCTGAACTGGATAAGCAGAAGATGGATGGATAGTTATTTTCCAGATTAATTATTTGGACTAAATAAATGTCAAGAGGTAGTTAAAAAAAAATAGGAATGGGAATTGATAAGAATTTAGCGACTCTGACGTTTGTGGATGTTCTCGTTACTCAAAGAAGTAATTTTCACAAAGAACACTTTTCTTAAAAGTGATGCACTACATTACTTAATTACTCCTGGGAGAAAGAAATTTGTTGTACTACTCATTATGTCACTTTCATGTTCTTCTGTAAAATGACCTGAAAGGGATCTTTTAGTAATTACCCTTTAAAAATATAAACCTGTAGCCAACACACCAACACAAATCTCTATCCTAATAATGACACACAGAATACTTAGCATTACACAAAGCCTCTCTCAGTAGAAGACAAAGCCAACAACACAAAGTAAAGATGACTTCAAAACGACTTTAAAATTATCGCCACTGTGATTCTACTGTAGAAACATGAACAGGTGGAATTGGAGGATACAGCCTGATTGCTCATCACTTTGTTACCTGGGCTGAGGTCGGCATTCACTCAGCTTCAGCATCACTCTGGCTTCTTGGCAAGCTTAGTGTTAGCATGCTGCCTCTGCAGATGCTTGCAAAGAGCCGAAGTTATGTTAGCAGCATTATGCAGCTGTTTCTGTCCTGGATTCAGAGCCAGTATTTTCCTCCTCCTGCACATGAACTGAAATCAGCTAGTGTGGGTGCAAATGGAACCGATAAACGAGAGTGACAATTCCAAGAAATTAGACTGACAGGAACTGGTTCTCCACTCCTATCCCTACATGTCATATTGCCTAAATTGCTGTACTGACTCAAATTTTTTTATTAATATTAATGAGATGATCTCCAAAAAATGCATTTGATGAATGCACAGTTTCCAAAACACTGGTTAAAGAGACCCCACTTCAGGGACAGTTTTAAGATTAATGAAAAACATTTGTTTTTTGCTCCCAAAGGTTTTATTTTCCATTTTTTTCCCCTTTATTGCCCCATTTGCCTCATCCTGTGTGGTATCAGTTTATCAGCCAGTCTAATTTGCTGACAGACTGGGCTGTAAACGGTTTGCCTCTTGTGCTGTGTAACTGCTGTAATCCACCGCTTAAGCTAGACTACAGATATTTACGCTGCATTCATATTCTATTTAATTTAATGAAATCTTTTACAGTAAAAGCATTTCCTTTACATGGATCGCTCACTTCATTATTGTGGTTTTGCGTATTGCCCTTGGGAGGGTGGTGATAGAGCACTTGCTGTGAGCACCACTAAATGAATTATGATGAGACAGGAGAGTTTAATGGCATGTAGCTGTGAGCGAGAAATTGGTTGGAGAACAAGGACAAGGGTAATACCAGACAGACTTTATGCATCATAAAGCTTAATAAAAATGTATGTTGAGATCAATACTCCATAATTATTAAATAATGTGTTTCTCTTTGGAGATGGTGAGATACAAATGACACTGTAAAGGGTCTATATTGAGTTGGTCAAGGAGCATGCAGTTATTGCAGTACACCTGCACCCATTCACATGTCAACACATAAATGTTGTGTATACACACCCACACATACACAAATTCCTGCTTCTGCCCACATCAGTGCTTACAGTAAATACTGTCAGGTAGCTACATTTGATGACAATGTATATACATTTAAAATGAAGAGAAAATGAAGTGCCAGATGTGCAGAAGACTGGAGCTTAGAGAAGCAGCAGCTTTAACTGCTACAGAAAAGAAATGACCTCCCATACTGTATCGAATCAAATGAAGACTAGACAATACTCTTAAGAAGTAACCAGAGTCTTTCAGGTGTGAGCTGGTAAAGGACTGAGACAGAACTGAACTCGCAGAGACGCAGTGCTTCATCGAATGCCTTTTGCACTGGCATTAATCCTCTCTGTATGAAACTGAGCTGCCTGAGGCTCTGCATGAGCTCAGTGGATACTGGGTTAGTGCTGGAGTAGATTAGATGTCTTTCCTTTCCAAGCTGATTCAGACTGCCTGAAAAGCTTGTGGGGTTTTGGTAAATTGCTGTCAGCAGGAAGAAGACAATGGTGATGACATTCCTGCTTTTTTAAACCACTCAGGGTCTTATGCAATGTTTTTCTGTGCTAATATTTACATTTAACTCACTTAGCGTTGACACTAAATGAGTGTCACAGCCTGAAACATATTCCAGCATATTTGTGAATGTTTGGGGCAGATTTTAACTAGAATCATGCAAAGCAGAGGTCCGGCTCCAAAAATAGAGCATCCTGCACTTTTCATAGTGCGACACAGTGACTTTTTTTCCCCCCTTTGGTAACAAGTACTCTCCAACACAGTGCTAGGGGTTATGTAAATCGGGTGGGAGTACTCTTAACAAGCATGGAAAATGACTGCCTTGTCAATCAAAGCGCTAAGCATCATCCACATATTTACAGAAGTGCACAAAAATCATGTGAATAATAAATCTTAAAATCAAAGTCAGAATCGATAAAGAATACCAACAAACTGGGTCAACAGTAACACGTCCACATGTAACACAATTCACTGCTCACGCTTCACTTGTAGCTGAGAATCATTTACATTGATGGAGTCTCGCTTCTGCTTCCTTCTTCCAGCAAGGGTTTGTCGTGTTTTGATGATGAAGTTGTGTTTTCGGTCATTATTCAGACGTTGGCTGGTTCCAGTTTCTAAGTTTTGAGGATTTGATGCGTTTATTTGTAGACATCAGTTGACTCATAGTGAAGATGTGTGAGTTGACTACATACCTGCTGTTTTTGTCCGTTTCTGTTCTGCTGTCACTGCGTTACTTTCCTGTGAACAGCAGCAAAGGCAGGCTGTGGTTTGCCAGCACTTCAGAACACCTGGAATCACTTCGTGCCCGGACATTTCTCTGTGGTCATTGTTATTACTGCAGTGGGCGGCTCCTACTCAAAACCTTACTGGCTTTCCTTCAGAGTAAATACAGAACTGCTTGCCTTTAATAAGAAACCCCATCAAGTGGTTTCCTGACCTCTCACACATTCATGCATTCTTAGACACTCGCATATAGAGACAGAAAGACAGACAAACAGACTATTTATCACAAGAGACATTCCAGTCATGTCCTTCTGGCCCAGTTAAATGTAGCACTCAGGAGCTGGTACTTGAGCTGTGCGTAATGGGGAAAAAGAGGACATTGTTTATGGGTGAATAAGCTTGTTTGTGTTGCACATATGTTAAAAGGCAGCCAGTTTGTGTTTGCTCTAGTCAGCATTGACCCTTTTATATCATCTTAGACACCCACTGGTTTCAAATACTTCTTTCATTTTAGAGGAAAACTGTCACATAACCAGCCTATCAGCTTTCTTTTCACACGTCATCTCCTATAGAAAACTTCTATTAAACTCCTGTTATTAATAAACCTTTGTTCTTCTGTCATCCATAGTCACAGACTCATTCAGGTTATAAAGATTCAGCCATCTGAGCCATATTAATGAAATGAATGAACTGCAGTTTACAGTATTGCTATTTATGAATGATTAATATTTATTTTATTCCATGTGATGGGATATCAAATTTGCCTAATTGTGTAATGTTGTGAACTGGAAAAAGCAGTTTCACAAAATTACACAATTGCCATCTGGCCTTCTGTGTGGAATTTGCATGATCTCCACGTGTCTGTGTGGGTTCTCTCCGGGAACTTCGGCTTCCTCCCACAGTCTACAGACATGGGGTGAGTGGGGTTAGTTTAATTGGTGACTCTAAATTGGTCGTGAATGCGAGAATGGTTATCTGTCTCTCTGTGACTAGCCGAAGTGTCTATTAGCGGCTGGTGAGGTCTGATCGACACTGTTTATTTTTACAAAACAGCTCACAAAGCCTTTTGCTGCTCAGCTGGTTGGAATAGAGTTTCTTTTCATTTGAAGCAATTCATTATCAGGGATTGTAACATCTGTAACATCCTTTTACTGAATCAGCACAACTTGAATAATAAATATCAATATATATAGCCCTTTAGAGGTGGACTTGCTAGTGTGTTTTGGATCATCGTCCTGCTGCATAACCAAAGAACACTTAAGCTTGGGTGCAAACTGATGTTAGTTTTATGCCAGATGTAACAGGATTCGCACCTTCCAAAAAGTTCACCTTTTGTCTCGTCAGCCCACAGGATATTTTCCCCAAGTCTTGGGGATCATCAGGATATTTTTTTGGCTAATGTGAGACGAGTCTTTGTGGTGTTTTTTTTGGTCAGGAGTCAGAACTCTCCCATGGATGGCTTTTTTGCTGAGACTTTTTTTGTTTTATTGATGAATATGGGCTTTGTAATACTTTTCAAACTGATAGATGTCAGTGACTTTGTTTCTCAGGTATTTCTTTAGATTGTGGTGTGACGTGTTGCTTTTTGAGATAACTTTGTCACACAGGTTCTGTTAAGTGATTACAGGTGTGGCAGTAATCAGGGCTCGGTGTGGTTGCTGAAATTCGATTCAGCTTTCTGAAAAACAGGGTTAAAAATAATTCATTCATGATTTAACAGGATGGGACAATTTTTTTTGTTGTTGTTTGATCTGAAACATGAAAGTGTGACAAATATGTAAAATAATAAGAAATCAGGAAAGAGGAAAATGTTTTCAACTTTTTTTTCCATACCTTTTCACAGCCCCCGTGTACAGTATATCACATTACTCTAAATAGGTCAGATACAAAATACCAGGTTGTACTTAACAATCATTTTCTATACAGTGCAGTGATGGGTTTTTCCTAATTAATAATTCATTTACTTTCGTATTTTTTGTCTGTAGTCCAGCCAGCCCACAGCAGCGCTGCAGCAGCTGCTGCTCAGCAGGGAGGATACGAGATTCCTGCTCGACTGAGGACCCTCCACAACCTGGTGATCCAGTATGCGTCTCAGGGCAGGTATGAGGTGGCTGTGCCTCTCTGCAAACAGGCTCTGGAAGACCTGGAAAAGACTTCAGGACACGACCACCCAGATGTGGCCACAATGCTTAATATCTTAGCCCTTGTTTACAGGTAAACTCCTGCAACATCTAATAATATGCACATGCATTTTTATGTATTTATCTTTTTCTAATGAAAGCCGGTGATGTCCTGTTTTTAAAGAGATCATGTTGCTAACTGAAGCGAGGTGGTCTATATAATGAATGAATTTCATGCTCAAAAAAAGTTTTGTTTGTAGTCTGCATTGTTTCATAAACTCCAAAATCCTCTTAGACTTAAACAGCTTTTAATGAATTCTTGTGTTTGGAAGATATCATAAAAAGCTAAGATTTTAACATTGAGATAATAACAGCACACTTTGTCACCCTCACAACACTGTGACATGTCTCTTGAAACCTTTGGCAGGGATTCTTTAAGTGTTGTGTGACTGGCTTCTTAATCAGAGCTGGATGCTTTTGTCAGAACAAGCCAAACGTAGCCTGACAAAGATTTATAGGACAGTAACGGAAGTTAATTTTCCAGCCCAACTAGACAGGAGCAAAGGAATGACGCCTAAAACCTGGACAAATGTCGCACAGGATTGTTGCCATGTTTTTCCATTTACATAAATCTAAGCCACTGAACAATCAGCTTGGGCTTTTGATTTAGTTACCTAAAACAATGAGTTGACTTGTTGTCAGTACTCTTGTGCACTGGCTGTGGGAACCACTGAAGATGGTGGCCCATTAGTTGAACTTGTCAGCATAGTTTATGTTTGTGTTCATGTGTGCTTGTCTGTTATTCTGCCCATCTCTGTGTCTGTATTTCAGTCTAACTCTGTCTGCTTTGGTCTCTCAGGGATCAGAACAAATATAAGGAGGCTGCCAACCTGCTGAATGACGCTCTGGCCATCAGGGAGAAGACACTTGGCAGGGACCATCCAGCTGTGAGTGTATTTGTTGATACATTGCATGTAGGTCTTCTGTTGTGCTCTGTATTTCTTGCTTTAGACAGGTGAATGATGTTCTTTGTTGTTTCGGTGTAATCCCGTTGATATTAATGGGGATAGATGTGTTGCACTGTTTCACAGCATGAATTATTTCCAAATGGAGGTTGTTCTTACAGTCAGCGGTGGTGAAACATGAAGACAAATATAGTCCTTTGTTAAGACATTCAGGCCACATCAACAGTATTGTAGGTATAGTTGGATGTATTGATTTCCCTTCTTTGAGAGCTTAGCACCATGAGTGAAAGGTAATTGGACCAACAGGTTGGAAAACCACACAGGGTAGCATTCTCTGCTGTAGAAAGAGCTCAGTGCTTTCATGCAATGGCATTATCATTTCTGAAACTGCTTAGGACCATCAAGTTCTCCACCAAGTAAGTGGTTGCTGTCAACAACAAGACAAATTTGCTAGGTCTTTGGTTCTTCAGAATTCAGGAATACTCTCGTCTTTGCACTTAGCTTAGCTCAGAGAAGCTGCTTTAGCTCTAGCTATAAAAATATCTTCTGAAAATTTTGAGTATGTGCCAGACTAGGTGCTTGGAACAATTATGCAAATGTTACATTGTGACAGATGAGTCACAGGACTGTGGGCAGTTCAGGAGCATTACTTTCTGTTGGAGAGAAAAACTCCCTATGGATTTCAGGTTTTGTAACTTTGCAGACATTTTACTTGCATTTGGGGGAAAATATATAAACAGCACTATAGAGTTTATTCTATTGCAGTACTTTAATGTGATCTGGGCCAGTTGATGAGTTTCCCTTCAGCACATGCAGCCATAAATCCTGGAGGCCCTTCCTGATGAAACCCAAGAAGCTGTGTATCCTCACAGTCTTAAACCAAGATTTTTTTTTGCGTTAGGTGAATATGTTAACTACTATACTGTGGAGCTTCAGACCGTTTTTCTGGTTCATAGAAAATATGGTTGGCCCAGTGCACTTTATTACAGTCTTTATATTATTTATTGTAGAGCACATCTGTTTACTTCATATCACACAAATATCTCACAAAAAGCATAGCAACCTACCTCATACATTTAAAATGATACCGTAGCATGTGTTTGTCCAAGGCTGTGACAAGCAGCGTGGGTGTCATTAATAATTTACCCCGGCCTGTTCTCAGATTCTTTAACCTCTCTCTGTCAACGTGACTGTACGCATGCAGCAGGTTAACCCCAGCAGGCCTGTGTCTCCACTGTTCGGACCTTCGTCTCTCTTCACTGTGTGAAACAGAGGTTAGCCCTCTCCACGTCTTCCCCTTTTTTCCAAAGAAGAAAGTGATTTTTTTTTAATTTATTTTTTTCACCCCAGTGATCCATCACCCAGACGAAATCTGACACATTACCTGATATGTGATTAAGTATAGTGATTTTTCTTCCTCTTAATCATATCATTTTTATAGAATTTCTTTTCTCTTCTTTCTGTTTTCAATGTGCGGTATTGTAAGCCACTTCTAACTTTAGCCTGACGGGCAAACAATATGTTGAGGTCATGTTCTCTTTCCTAATCAGTCGTGAACTTCTGGGTAAATCATGTACCGACACACATACATAGGTCAAAGTGGACTTGGACTATGAAAACTGGCTCTTGGTTTGCCACTAAAAAGAAAGGCGACAATCTGCTGAGGTAATTGAAAAAGGCGGAGTTGTGGTTTCGACTGTAAAGAGACACAAACACCTTGATTTTGAGGTCAAAACCCCACCAACTGAAGTGTCCAGTCCCTGAGATTCCCGTTGACGCTGCTACTTTGGCTCTACATGGATCTGGCTGAGTCTGACAGGGATGTTCAGGAGACATGAGCACTATGATCTGAATCGCAGTAGTGTTCTGCTTTCTGTGGATATAATGCTAAATTTAGTCGTCAAGTCTGTGTGTCGTAATGCTTTCTGAATCTAATTATAATTAAAATAATTATGTAAGTATGTGTCTGACTTTATGACTCTTAATACAAACACAAGATTTAAAAAACATGGATGTGAAACTGTGAATTTGTCTGTAAGATTTGAAGGCTTTAGGTTAATCATCGACAGGTTTGTGATCAGACTATATAATCTGTAGCTCCTTTGCTTTAAAAAAAAAAGTTCTCTAAATGTTCTTTTTTATATTTTCACCATTTTTGAGATTGTGACATGAGGACAAATTAAGTCTTAAAGAGCAGAAAAAAAGTGTTCTCAAACTGTAGGAGTTTTGTCCCTCTCTTCCTCCCATCTTCCTGAATAAGCTCCCGTTCCTCCCATCACTTCAACCCTCTGCCCTTCCTCTCGTTTCCTCCCACTCTGCTCACATGGCTGCCAGAACTTGGTGTGAATCAGAGATCAGTGCTCACCTCAGGTCCCCTCTGCAGTCTCCCCTCACTCGTCCTGTGTGCACATGTTGGAGATTCATCACTCAGCTGATTTGGATCAAATTACAGCCCGGCATAATCACTTCCTGTTTCCCCACATCCTCTTATTCCTTGTCAATTTCTCACTCATCAGACCAATGACACCACTCTGCTGTTGTAGACTCTTGCGGTTCCACACATTGTGCAAATGAGTGAACATGTCTATGAGGCCAGGAAGAATAGAGCATTGTGGGATAATAAATGTGTTTGTGTCCCTATCAGGTTGCTGCAACTCTCAATAACCTGGCTGTCCTGTATGGGAAGAGAGGGAAGTACAAGGAAGCAGAGCCTCTGTGCAAGAGAGCGCTGGAGATCAGAGAAAAGGTGGGTACGAGGTCATCAAACACTGTGATGAGTCGATGCACTAGCGAGTACTTTCACTTATAGACAGACTTTGTGCCCCTGTACTGAAACACTTCAGACTTCACTCAGAATATTTCATTTGGAGGCAGCAGAATGAATAGTAGGAATTAAAATATTCAGACAGCACTCAGCAACTGACCACTTGTCCCTTCAGCTTTTCATTTCAACACAGCAGATATTTACTATAACTGCAACAGATTAACTTGTTTAGAATATCTAAATTTTAAGTTTTGCACATAATTAACAACAGTATTAGCTTTTCATGTCTAGTGGCAGTCACTTGTGTTTATTGTTGGATTTAACAAACTATGGACACTATGTGACACATTTCGAGGCCTCATCATTAGTTTTTAGATACCACTGTGTTTTATTTGGGGGTGGTGACCATGTTTATGAGATGGTGAAGTGCTAAGTGTGTGAATGTGTGTGTGAATGGGTGAATGACTGAATGTAGTGTAAAGCGCTTTGGGGTCCTTAGGGACTAAGTAAAGCGCTATACAAATACAGGCCATTTACCATTTATGTTATTAGCTAACACTAGCAAGCTTGGTTAGCTTGATGAGTGCAATAAATACTTGATTATACTCATATAAAACTGAACATAAACTTCTTGGACAGCTAATTTGTAGTTCAGCTGTAGCTGGCAGAAGTCGGGCCTTGCACACAGTGATCGGCTACGGCTGTTTGAGTTGGCATGTGTGTGTGTCCCCCCCCCCAAAAAAAAGTCAACTATACTTGTTAAGAAGGATTAAAAAAAACAAAATTGATATGTTGTGATATAATAGATTTCAGGTTGGGGTATCACCAACGACTGAGGCCTCAGAGTAAAACAGCAGTTGGCCAAAATCTGGAATTAAAAAAAGAAAAGCAGCAGTGAGTCTTTGTTCTTTCCAAAAAGTGTTTTAATATATATATATTAGAAAGTACATGGTAAATGGCCTGCATTTGTATAGCGCTTTTCTAGTCCCTAAGGACCCCAAAGCGCTTCACACTACATTCAGTCATTCACCCATTCACACACACATTCACACATCTACAAAAACTACATAAAACTCATAAAGTCATAAAGTCTGTTTTTGTTTTGTTTTTTCCTCACTGCTTGCATAAGAAATAAACTGTAGTCAACCTCCTTTATGTAATTTCTCCTCTTTTTTTTTTTAAATTTTTTTTATCAGTATTCAGCCTTCGTCACAGGGCAGGCTCTTTATCCTGAGCGAACGCTACTGTTTTGCCTGTATTAATTTGATACTTACAAACGAGCCGCAGGAGACACTTTCTGTTGTTTATGCTCAGCTCTTGCCTTTGAACAAACCCACTTCTCCTTCGTCTCCTTGAGAATGCAACGTCAGCTTTGGTTAAGCCGAGGCATTTAATTTTTTTTTTTTTCTTCATGCTTCTTAAACTGAGATGATAATGCACTTGCTTAAGCCGGAGTGGTTTTGCACATGCAGGGCATTGCAAAGTGACTGCAGCAGAACTGCTGAATCAGAAGGATGTTTTTTTCCCCCTCTCGTCATTCCGCCTTTTTGTAGAAACTCTGGAAAATTCTGTGTGTGTGTGTGTGTGTGTGTGTGTGTGTGTGTGTGTGTGTGTGTGTGTGTGTGTGTGTCAGTATCATATCCTTTTCACTTTGCCCTCACTAATCTGTCAGGGCAAAGTAAATTGCAGTCTGTATCTGTTGAAGAAAGTTGTTGAGAAAAAGGAAATATGACTCATCTTAAAGTTTCCCTTGTGAAGTATTGAGAAAGTGTTAATACTTCTTGCTTTTAGCCTTTAGAATTATTTGAGTTCATGGCAACAGCAAAAATGTGGAATGCCAGCAGCGTTATTCTTGTAAAAGATTCAAGATAATAGAAACTTGCAGATGACAGACTGCATTTAAACAATGGATGTAGGGTCTGCTATGTAAAGTGAAGCCAGTATACAAGTGTCTTAAATATGTTGTCTTTGTAATGGTCAGCAGTATGAATCCTCTGGTTGCATAAAAAATTCTAGTCTATGAGAAAAGTGTCCTTGGCCTCCTTCATAAGTGAGTAAGGAAACACTTTACCTGACAAGTTTATAAGCTGATCACTAGTTTCAATTTTAGTGTATATACCATTATATTCATTTTGAAAATTGGTCCCCATTATGGTAAAACAACAAGTATAAAGGAGGATATGCTTTAGGCTGGGTCTGCCTTGTAATCACCTAGTTGCTACCACATGAGCACGCAGTGTGTTGGTTTCTCAGTCAAGCATACATCACATCTGGTTTCAAAACACAAAGACGGTGATTGCAAAAATGAAAACAGTGATGAAATCTTTTTTGCTTGATTGTGTTTTTTCAAACATTTAGTCTATGCTATAGTTACTCCAGTACTCGAATATCTGCAATTATAGATAACTTAGCAGATCTGCTACCTGCAAGAACTTGCAGCCTTTCCTCTTTTCCTCATATCTGACATTTTCAGTACCAAACCAGAATTTTAAGGTTCAAATTCCAAGGTTTAAGTAACTAATTTTTAATTAGAAAAGGGCGACCAGAACATGTATGTAGTGTGTTTACTTTGCCTGAAAGCTTTCAATAAGCCACAGAATTTTTGCAGAACATTTGGTGGTTGAAGGCATCAGTAGGCATGATCAGATCCTCAGCAGTTTTGTGGTGCTGATGGCAATCTGTTTTCTAGCTAATGCTGTTTACAGGAAAGCGTTCAGATGTGTTATGTGGTGCAGGAGGAGGCGATTGAGGCCAGGCCTGAGTGAATACTGTAGGTATCTCCGCTCACACAGCTCTGCACCATCCTGTGGATCAAAGACGCTGTCGGTCTCCAGCGGGGAGGGAGGGAGGGAGGGAGGGGGGGATCATCCTGCAGTTCTAAGACCTCACACAAACTTACCGAGCAGTAAACTGAAACTAGAAATCAAAACAAACTAATTGTTCACTTGTTTTCATTTACAACCATAAACGTGACACTCAGGGTGGTTTCTTTTTAACTGATCAGATCCCTTTCCCAACAACACCAGCCACCCATGTGTGTTCACTGATTCCACCCGTGCACATCCTTTTCATTTTCTTCTCTGTTTTCTTTCCTTTCATCCACCTATGATTGCTACATCTTTACTGGGCAGTTAGAATCATATAATAAGAAAAAATATTATTGTGTGTGTGTGTGTGAGTGAGAGAGGGGGGGGGGGGGGGGGGGTCATTTAGCATCTAGCCCCAATACATGTCTTTTAGTCTTGCTGCACTCTACTCTAATGACCTTTACTCTTCTTAGCTCACAGGAAGAGGTTGCAGTGCTTAAAGGCTGTTTCTTAATCCAGAAGTGGTTTTTATTGGGGGGGGGGTTTGGGTGGTGTTTTTGTTTTGTTTTACAGCTTTATTTATTTTTTTATTTATTAAAGCAGGTTAGTAGCCTATTAATCCACAAAAGGCCAAAATTCCTACGGAGGCATGTACTGTATGTAGCAAAGGCTACAGGCTTGATCCCCAGTACTCTAGACCAAATTTACACATGTGACATCTTCTGTGCACACTGCTCCAAACATACGTGTAGTGTAATCAGCCGCACTACAAACAGAGTGCAGCAAGTCAAAGCAGCTTGGCAGGAGATGAAACAAACATTTCCAACGTATTGACAAATACCCTTCCGGTCTTCCTGGAAATCCAAATTTACAACATTGGACCTGAGGATTTAAACTAGGTTGCACATTTGAATGTTTACACTAGTGAAACTCAGTAGAAGGCGCTAAATCCGTCTGACCAGCATTTCTCATGTTGGCTAAGTGTTACTGACCAAATAGCACATGGCAGAAATGGGTTGTTTAAAGTTCATATCTCTTCCTCTTTTGTCCCAGGTGTTGGGCAAGGACCACCCAGATGTGGCCAAGCAGCTAAACAACCTGGCCCTGCTGTGTCAGAACCAGGGCAAGTATGAGGAGGTGGAGTACTACTACATGAGAGCCCTGGAGATCTACCAGACCAAACTGGGCCCAGATGACCCCAACGTGGCCAAGACCAAGAACAACTTGGTGAGAAGGATGGAAGTATTTGTCAATTTGCGGAATAAAAATCAATATCTGCAGATGACAAGTGGCATGAAAATGACAACTCTTTTTAAATTATTTTATTTAAAAAAAAAAAAAAAAGGAAGAAGAAAAAACTAATTCAGCTTCTCCCAGTCCTGTGAAGCTTCTTGTGTGTTGCTGACATCCCATTGCTGGACCTTACTGCTAACTGCTGAAGAGCGAGCTCTGACTTTGCTCATTCGCAGTGTCATGTTGTTCTTATTGTTTGTGTTTTTCAGGCATCCTGTTACCTGAAGCAGGGCAAGTTCAAGCAGGCAGAGACCCTGTATAAAGAAATCCTAACCCGCGCTCATGAACGGGAGTTTGGCTCTGTTGATGGTACAAAGTGCTCACACACTTTTTATATTTCAGACATTGCAGATAGTAGCTTAAACTTAGAGTAACTTGCATGCATGAACAACTTTATAAGTCTCTCCTTTGAAGTAAAGGTTAATATGTTCAGGCTGCTGTTATTTTAGTGAAGGATGGAGCCGAAAAGAAACAGAAAACAGCACTTCAGAGTCAGAGTGACTTTTCAAAGGTGTCTCTAGCTGCTTATCTGAGTTTGTCAGGACTGATTGTGTGTATGTTTCTTTGCAGATGAGAACAAACCAATCTGGATGCATGCTGAGGAGAGAGAGGAGCAAAGCAAGGTGAGAGCCTGAAACATATATATACAAGTATAATTGTAATTTCTGTTGTGCTTTCTTAATTTTGGGTTTCAGTGTTAAAGACAAAACCTTATAATTGCACAGGATCAAAACACACCAAGTTTTTAAAAAAAAAACTTCTGCATTAAACTTCTCTGAATTCTTTTACCTTATTTAACATGAAATAAGAAAGACTGACTTTACAAAGATTGGATTAGGATATTAAGTCTCAGTAAAAACTGATGATGATGGTCCGAGTCCTTCACTCTCCCATCTAAGAGTTCATTTCATGGTTTAATAGGTTTAGATGTTCTGGGGAAGAAGTACTGATCCAATTATAATCCCACTGCTAACACTTCTCCATGTAAACTGACTACATACAATGTAAGCGGGTTGGTTTCCATCCTTAAATGTCTGATTTATTATATCATATATGCAGATTTCTTAAATCTAAACCAAATTGGTGTTTCACAGGGGAAGCAGAAAGACGGTTCACCATTTGGAGAGTATGGAGGCTGGTACAAAGCCTGTAAAGTCGACAGGTCAGTGTTTTTCCACGGAGTAAATATGGGTGATACTCTCAGCACAGGAAGCAAACTGATACATGATATATATAAATGTTTACACATAACAAAATGTAGTAAGCAATTAAACCAGCTGTGGCCAACCATCTATAAGACAGTCGTGTTGTTCTTGTTGTTTTATTGTCTTTCGCCAAAACGATTTTCTGTGACATTAAATTTCCACCGGTTGTCGTTTCAGCCCCACGGTTACCACCACCCTGAAAAACCTTGGTGCCCTCTACAGGCGGCAGGGCAAGCTAGAGGCAGCTGGGACCCTGGAGGAAGCTGCGATGCGTTCCAGAAAGCAGGTGTGGCCTCTGGATAATGTGACTAACAACACAGGACTGTAGATATAGAAGCAGATGACTTGTTATCGGTGCTCAGATGAAACGGGTCCGTTGAGCATTTGCGTCACATTAAAAGGCAGAAAATGTGTGAGCTGCTGTGGAATTGGAAAAATGCAATGCACTCAGAATCCTGGAGCGTAGTTTGGTTTCTTTGGTGTTGTTTTTAGCTGCCCCTGATGGTGTTACTTATGAGACTTAATGGAGTCTAAGTCCTGCAGCTTTTATCCTGAATTAGGTTTTCCATCAACATGTAAACATTGAGTTATTCAGTAACAGACACACATGTTATTAAGATAAAATTCCCCATTGTCTTGCTGAAATTACAGCTGTAGAAACTAAAATAACATTTTGGTAATTATTACAATAATTCCATTATAACTAGTCGGATCTGCTTTGGGGCCTCGTTTTAACACCACAAACTTCCTTTGATATATTTGGAGCGTTGTCATTTTTTGCTTGAGGAAAGATTCGATCCCGATATGAATGTAACCTTTAATCAGCATTTAGATAATACAAGTGGAGAAGGTTTTAGTAGAAATAAAATAAGCGACCAGACTCTGCCAGCATGATTGTTTGGCAGTGTAACGTCCCGTGTTTGTTTTTCCCTCCTTGAATAATTAAACGCTCAGGCAGAGTCACAGAAAGTACTTTGTACTGTGGTGTAACCGTATTGTTGGCCAGCTTTAATTACGCAAGGTAGCACTGGAAGTCACCAGCTAACAGAAAAGCTAATTTAGCTGCACTGGCACCATGGGTTTGCTGTTCAAGTTTCACTATATTAGATGCTTACATGTATGTTCTTTTAATCACATGGTTGCAAAATTGTTTTTTCCACCAAACTGAACGTTTAAAAAAGTCTTTAAGATTTCTGTAAATATCAAAACAGCAGTAAAGATAGTCAAAAATGACATTCTGAGATTTCAGAATGGGCAGTGACTTCTTAGGTAGGTGCTTTCCTCTAGCTCCATATTGAAAGTGTGCTTTTTCAAAAATGGTTTAACTGAATTTCTAGTGGTCAGCAAGCTAATTTACCAATAATTAGTTGGATTTTTTTTTTTTTTCATTTTCTGTCCTCTGCCAGGTTTATTCTGACTGCTAATCAGCAAATCCCAGGTGCTGGGTTTAGAGCAGCAGGCAGTAGAAGTCTATAGATTTAGTATTAATTGGATTGGATGAATTAGCACTTGTTGCTGACAGCTGTACAGTGTATCTGTGTAGGTGAGGCTGTGCTGGAGGTCCGACTAGTACATGGGTTTAGCTTATGCTTAATTGGATTTGTTGAACTGGCATTTATTTATTGTTGTGTGCACACATCAGGGTCTGGACAATGTGCACAAGCAGCGCGTGGCTGAGGTGCTGAGCGAGCCGGAGGCCCGAGAGAAGCAGCGAAGCCGCGAGAGCCTGAATTCTGACACGGTGAAGTATGAGAGCGGGCCAGACGGCGGCGAGGAAGTGAGTATGAGCGTGGAATGGAACGGGGTAAGTACAGTACACAGCCCTCGGCACATTACTGAGAGTTCTCAAACCAGGGACACAGACATGTCGACTTGAAATAACTCCTCTATCTTTCTGGACTGACGTCATCCACAAAGTCATTTTACTTGTTAAAGTTTCCTCAGCACAGAAACTATAATAAACACAGTTGTTAATGTAAATGCTAAAGTTTGGTCACATTGAGCTGGCTTGGATTGGATTATTTTATTTGCTGTCAATCAAGCCAACTGATGGTTCCCTATAAAGTTATAGTGAGAATGAGGGGCCACTGGAGGCCAGTGAGGGGATTATCTCTTCAATTAGGCTACGTTCACACTGCAGGTCTTAATGCTCAATTCCGATTTTTTTGATCAAATCCGTTTTTTTTGTCTGCTCGTTCACACTACAAATAAAGTGTGACAGCAAACGCGCTCTAGTGTGAACGCTCAAAGCGGCCCGCATGCGCAAAAGAAGACGTCATACACAACGCGCTCTGTTTAGACCCAGAACAAACTATATTGTTTGACTGATGGCCTTAATATAAAGACTTCGGACTTCATGTTTCCCGATTTTTGCTTTAAGTTATTTTGTTATTTACATAATAATGTAGATAACCTAATAATGATCCTTAGGCTATTGCTGTTTTAGAGGAGCGGTGCTTCAAAGGATAGTTGCAGATTTCTGTCAGAACCTGCAGGTTATGCAGTACAAATAAAATGTTAACGTTTCTCCAACGTTGTCTTCCCAGCAGTTTCACCGGATGGCCAGGAAGCGTTCGCGATGTCTTCTCTGGCGCGGATAATTGGCGTCTGTCTTGTGTCAGTGATGTAAAAGACGGATTTAATGCGACTTGACCGTTCAAACAGCAGTCGCTTTCTGAGACATCGGATATGTATCGGATTCAGTACCACATACGAAAGTGACCCAGATCGGATTTGAAAATATCGGATTTGTGCCGTTCACACTGTCGCACCATAATCGCACATAGGGTCAAAAAAAATCGGATTTGATGCGCTTTCGCCTGCAGTGTGAACGTAGCCTTAGTGGCTTCGGTCATGAAAGATACAGTGAGGTTGTTTCTTCATCTATGACTAAAATGTTTGAATGAGGACTTAAATCTTGTCCGACTAGCTCAAAAGGATCAAACTGTACAATGCTACACTGATAATCCTGACTGACAGTCGCAGTTACTCTGCTCTCCCGCTTCTTCTTCCTGCTTGTGCGTCGCTGTTACCCTGACTTTGATTAATGAGATCAAGTGAAAAAATGCTCTGCTGGAGCATTCACTTGGCTGGAGCTTAAGTCGTTGGCAGTCATTGAGTCGTAGCTCTTTGTATAGTTTAGTATAGTATAGTATTTTTCACTAAACTCTCTTTTATTGTACAGCTTTTCCAACTAATGTCTAAAAAGCTTTAAAAACCCCTCTGGTCACACACATTGATGCCACCTCGCTGCCTCAGCTGCAGACCGACTGTTCTCAATCAGCTGGTACATTTCAGAATATGCAGAATTTTCTCAGCCTGTCCTCACTGCAATGGCAGAATATGTAGTTATAGGGTCGCTGTAGGCTGCTCACCACCTTATTTCTAAAATGCTGCTCCTGCTGTTGCTTAGAGCTGGCCTGCTCGCATAGCAACAGTAGTCATAGAGCCCAGAACAACCAATCAGCATCTCCTATTGCACCTCTAGTTGTAGTCCTTGCAGGCGGTATGGTGTGACACATAGCTGTGCCTATAAACTGTAGCCTGTCAATGGATTATTAGCACACAGCAGACAATCGCCTGCAGATCTCTGGACCTATTTATATCAGGAAAGGAGCCGGACTCATCTGGAAAGAACTTTAGCTGGAAGGAAAATCTGACAAGGAGCTTTTGTTTTGTCCTTAAATCTTCTTTGATCAAACAGTAAATGAAGTCAGTATAAATACAACGATCAATCAATCAATCAACTATCGGCCTTTAATTGGATTTGAAGACACACTTTATTGATCCCAAGAGGGAGCTTTCACAGCTTCTACACCAGCACAATTCCACAGCCTACGAGTTAGAGAGGATTTACAAAAGTAAATGGAACTTAAATATATAAAGAACTAGAATTTGCAAAAGCACTATGCAAGATTCCAGTAGAAGTATTATTTTGGAAATACTGGGTGTATCCAGTTATTTTCATACACTATTTGTGTATTATTAGCATGCACTTATCTTCTTTTCAAATCTCTACAATAGCAACATCATTCTGCAGCATACTGAAAATATCAATCTTTAAAATTCTGTAATTTTGTATTGCACTTGTATACTATCAGTTGCAATTGGCTCATATTTCTAATATTAGATGGATAAAAACAGATATGTCTGGGGATGTTTATCCTCCACTGCTTCCCTGCAGTTGTCAGAGTACATTTTGTTTTTCATCCTGTCAAACAAATCATCACTTCCACTTCAGCTCTCTCCACAGGCAGCTGTGAAAACCTCTCTCTTCTCACTTAATACAAATGAGTCTGTGACTCATCAGTCTGTTCTGACTCAACATGGGCTCTGTACTGTACTCCTTCTTTGTTGATGTTGGTGATCTGCATGTGTGTACTTGTTTATGTTTCTGATCGTTGCATACGTGTGGTGATCTGCTGCCAGAGAATGTAAAGTGTGACTTTCCCAGCCTTTTGTTCTTTTCCATTTGTTCCTTGTTAGCTGCCAGAGAAGATGGGAGAGTTCAGACCGAATAAATGATCAATTCTGATTATCATTAAGTTGACTTGTGTTGCTGCTCCCAGCTATTTTAGTTCATTTTCTGGGATGAAGATAAAAAACACAAAACTAAACATTTAGTTCTGTTACAAAAAAGTTGATCTTTCTGGCTACTCTCACATGTCTCTTTACCTGCACCCCTCTGTTTATTTTGTGGTCACCTAACAAGGTTTAACTTTACTGATATGTATTGATGAGCTATGTTCCAGACTCAGACACAGCGTCTCTCTCCACCTGATTGAGCTGTATAAGTGCTCCACCTAGTGGCAGAGCCTGCCAGTTGTCCTGCACTCTCACAGCTGTGATAGGTTTAGGTGTCCATTCATAATACTCTTGGAATACATGAGATATGATTCCACAACCGTGTTTTTGTTTGTTTGTTTCTTCGTGTAAATTCACACAAAACACAAACCTTAGAAAGTTTGAAGCTTGGCCTCTCTGCTTTCTTTTTTTTCTTTTCTTCAGATTCTCGCACAAGCTCGATGTTTCAGCCTGCCTTTAGCGCATATAATTCGATTTTTTTTTTTAATTAAAAATATAATTGAACCTGGTGGTGTGGCCTCTGCAGCTCACCTCCTGAAACCAGACGTGTGAATATTCCTGTTTTATAAATGTAGTTGTTTTTTTTTTTTTTATGCCATGTGACTGCTGACATTAAAGTTAATTTACATAATTCTTCAAAATAGCTGCCAAAAGAAAAGGCCAGGGGCGCTACCAAATGGTTACACAGTTGTGACTTACATTTACAAACAGGTAATTTCATGGTAAAATTATAAATCATCCTAATAACCACACAGAGCATTCAGGCATTTAAGAGTCCACCCTGACATTATCTGTCTGCTGCCTTAATTTAGTTTAGTTTGTTGAGTTTTAGAGGTTTGGGCCTGAGAGTGGACGAGACCCGAGGCCATCTGGAACAAGCTGTGGAAAATGGCCGATGGCCTTGGAGAAGGAATATAATGCGGTCTGGATGGTTTTGTTCTCCCACAAACTAGAGGAGGCTGGAACAGAAGTGTTATTGTAGTTCAGTCCCCCGACTGCACAACCATTATTCTGTTAAAATGATCTTATCCTACCTCATATTTGTGAAAATACAGAAGTATTATTATTTATCTCTTAATTTTTATCTCCTGCTGTGAGTCCTGTGATTTGGAAAGAACAGATTTCATTTGAAAATAGCTACTTAGAGCAATAGACAACATCCAGGGTTTCCCAGGATTTCCCCATGTAAAGTTGGATTGTTGTGAAAATAAAACTGCACATAAAAATTTTTTTATTGCTGCTTTTATGAGAATCTCTATAACACAGAGGTTAGTGACGCAAACACTAGTGGTTACCAATCACGCTCATGTGAGACACAGATCTCCTGAAGATGTTTTTAACAGGTTTTTTGAGCTCTTTTCCCAAATCAGAATATTAAAATAATTGCTTCTGATCAAATTATGTCACTGTAATGACTGTAACTTAAAGCCCACCCATACTGTGTTGGCTGTCCAGTACAGTGTTGGGTTTTGTTGTATAATCATTTATTGATCTCTGTCTTCCATGTGTTGCACTGGCGGGTGGAGAGACGCTGTGTCTGGTTTATCTGTTAACCTCTCAGTCTTTGTCCTGTATGCTTCCCTCCTTTCTTCACCCTTCTTTAATTGCTCCTCTGTATCCATATCTCATCTTACTGTCTTTTCCCCTCTCTTTTACTGTTTGCATTTGCGTCTTTCTCTCTTCAATCTGCTCTGTCTGACCGGCAGGCGTAACTCCAGATGCCTTGTAGTGGTTCTAAAAATTGTCTTCTGCATGACGGATGCCTCGCCTCACCTCGCCTCAGCCCCTTCAGCTTTGCAGTTTTCCTTCAGCTCTTTTCTGTGGCGGGATTCTTCACACCGGGTTCAACCACAGCGATAATGTTGCTTTTACACCCCAATCTCAGTTGTTTTTGGGAACAGGAACTGTGTGAAAATGGTTCTGGCAGAAATACGGAGACAGCTTGTGTGTCCGAATCCAACCCTCTGCTTTCTACTTGTGCTAAAGCACTGCGCTAGAATTGTGTATCTGCTGCGGGTGGGAGAGGACTGGGGTGATTTTTCTTTATGGCAACAGTAAACTTGTGCTTCATACCTTGATATTTCTCCTTGTCCTTTAACTCTGCTCCTCTGCTTCCTCTCTTTCTGTCACTCTCCTATCTTTAAAATGTGCTTTCGTTTTGCTTGTAGACTTGTTTTTGGAGGAACTTTGAGGGGTGTTTGACACAAAGTTCCTGAACTGAACTCTTCTTTAACTAAAATTATGAACTTTCTTATTTGGTACAAATCTGACCACAAGATCAATTAAAGTTTCATCATTAAAATTTCATGTCATTAAAATCAAAGCAAAAAGTGGATGACCAAAAGAGATGACCAAATATGTGCTATATTTAGTTTTAAAGTGGAGCAAAATTTTGGTCAGAACTTTTCTTTGTGATTTAAAAAGAGATCAATGAAGTGTTGCTGAACAGGTCCATCGATTTTAAAGGCCAGGGTCACGCAGAATGACTGCAAAATGCAACAAGAATGTGCGTGTTTGTATCCAGTGGATCTTTATCTTAAACAGTGAACCAAACTAAACAGCAAAACAGGGGAAAAAGCAGTAGCAGTGCCGCTGTGCAACAAATTGTAAACTGTGTTTGAGGTCTAAAAATGACAGATTGTGGTTTAAAAAACACAGGAAAAACAACAACTTCCTGCTGTGTGAACATGACATCCTGTGTTCAACCCAGGTGCAAATGATTGATTTAAACCTCAAACTTCATTAGGCTAAAAAAATTAAAACATTTCAGCACTACAATACTGGCAAAGGCATTCACAGGAGCAAAAGTGATGACATTTTGTTGATGTCGTGGTCAGATGAGCCAAAAACAACAACAAAAAAGGTCTGAGAAGGCTTGAGGTCCATGTTAAAGCCTCCTTCCTCCTCTCTCTCTCTCCCTCTGTAGAGGTTAGAAGCTTCTCATCTCTCTTTTATCATCCGCGCAATTTAATTCAACATTAGCTTTTAGAATCCGTAGTGATAACTGAAAACGTCTCATGTGGTAGTCACGTAACACGCTGTAAAAAACATCGACTTTACTCGTCAGCATGATCAGGAGCACCGCTGATTGTGGCTCTGTAGGTTTGTGCTCCTGTTTAGAGTTTAGTCTTTGCTGTGTCACTCTGCTGTCTCATCATTTGCACTGATATCAGACAAAAACATGTTGTGATGTCAATAAGAGGACACATAAAGGTGATTGGAGTTAATGTGCAGTGGGCTTACATGGTTAAGTCTCGGGGAGAAACGCTGCAACAGTTCAAGTTTTCCACTTGTCAGGTTGGGTCTTGAAAAAAGTGAAGCTTTTGGCTGATACAGAGCCTAAACCTTGTGTGTTCTCTCTGTTTACCTTCTGTATATCTGTGTATATAGTTGTCAGGGTTTGGGGGGGGGGGGGGTTACAGAGAATTTGCTGTATAAAAGCATTATTGTTGCATTTGCTGAAAGTTTAGGAATTTAATTAGTCTCCTTTTCAGTCTGATCTCACCTCCTGCTACTAATCTTCTGCGTGTGCTGTCCTGTTTGTGCATCTTTCTTAACTTCTAATAAAACTTAAACTCTTTGCTCACCTGAACCTGTGCCTGTCGCCTCTTTGTGTGTTCCTTCTCTTTTCCGTGTGTGTGTCATCATAACTGAGTGAGCTCTAAACCTGTCCTGCTCAGATACAGCAGCAGTGGAAGGAAGAACAATCACCATATCCGCAGTCCAGTAAATTGAATCTTTTATGTCACTGTTTAAATCAGATAATGGATGTTCTGCAGATTTGAAAACTCAATTCTGAAAAAATGCATATTTAAATTTAATCTCCCAGAAGCTCAGAGGGTAGGTTTATGTCAGAAATCAATAGCATATTATATTCTTCATTTGATTTCTGAGGTATGTTTGGGTGATGCTTAACTGTCTCTCTAGCTAGTTACAGATCAACTTTTTTCCCCCATATTTTAGGTGTGCTCTAGTTTTTAAAGGTAAAAGTCACGTTGATGTGAAAAATTCAGTTTATTTGGAGTATGAATTGGTTCTCCATGACTACTTTGACAACTCATGGCAGTAACAGCTTTTAAACTTTGACATACTTTTCTTTAATAAAAAAAACCAACCGATCAAAAGTTTAAGCAAACATTAAAAATCATTGGAACTAGTTAATTCATATTTTGGATCAGTTTTTCAATTATTATTGTAATTTATTTCTACATTTTTACAAAAATAAATGGAGTTCTGCCAGACTAGGAAGTAACTGACCTATTTTGGCTTCACCACTCTGATCCTACCATGTTGCTGGATATGATGACAATGGTTAATGGAAACATTTAAGGCATCCAAGTTGGAAAAAATATGAAATTATGTTTTTTTAAAAATCTATGTATAGCCTTTTGAGTCGCTCTCTCCCACACAAGACGCTGCCCTATTCCTCAGTCAAACTTCTGATTCATTATTATTATTCAACAACACATGTTGAAAGGAAGTGGTGCAGGTGAGAAACTAGCAGGTCCAATAAAGTGCATCGAGTTTAACAGTCAGAGATCAAAGCTGTGCTGAGACTAAATCAGGGGTGGGCAAGTCCAGGCCTCGAGGGCCGGTGTCCCTGCAGGTTTTAGATGTGTCCTTGATCCAACAGCTGATTTAAATGGCTAAATTAGCTCCTCAACATGTCCTGAAGTTCTCCAGAGGCCTGGTAACAAACTAATCATGTGATTCAGGTGTGTTGACCCAAGGTGAGATCTAAAACCTGCAGGACACTGGCCCTCGAGGCCTGGACTTGCCCACCCCTGGACTAAATGAAGATGAAATGTCAGAGGTGTTATATTTCTCACACTAAAGATCTCTTCATGTAATGTCATTTTTGATTTTGGGGCCATCTATAGGCATATAGCTGACACCTTAAAAATGGTGCCACTAAATTATGCAGTGTGACTTCTCCAGAGCCACTCTGTGTAGCCTTTCACATTTGAAAAGATGAGAATAATGTATAACAGAATACACCAGCTGATGGTGCCACAGTTTAGGGGTAGAAGTCTCTCAGAATGAGATGCAGTGTAACAAAATAAATACAGTCTTGTTTAGTGCACGGAGCATTATTTTTGAAGTACAAGCCACACATGACGCATTAAGCATCTCTGCTGGTTTGTAATGAGTGTGCTGCTTTACTGCATCATGTAAGCACATGAAATTTTGCACGAGACAAGCAAATGCAGTCCAGTACAGCAGCTCAAGATGCTAATTGTAATACAAACAGACTAATGATTACAAGGTGTGTAAAACTAAATGTAGCAGAGCTGTTCTATTGGACTCCTTTAATCACACAGTGATCTACTGAGTGTTTGTGTGAATATATTAGCATATACCAGTGTGCAGATAGGGTGTGAGTATGTGTAGCCTAGATTTGGACAGTTTTAATTATTAAGTCATGTCAGTAGTAAGATGCACAGACTTCTCTCGATTAAAGCACAGTAGCAGAAAATGTGTTTGAAGCAGTAATGAGAGTGTACGCTGGTTTGATGCTAATCTACATTCTGTGTCTGCACTCTTCTAAATATGTTGGATAGTGGTGTGTATGAGTGACTCTGTGACGTGTCCCACCAGGATGGCTCCGGCTCTCTGAAGAGGAGCGGATCCTTCAGTAAACTACGAGCGTCAATCCGCCGCAGCAGCGAGAAACTCGTTCGCAAGCTGAAAGGCGGCGGCTCGTCCCGAGACAGCGAGCCCAAAAACCCCGGGTAACTATCAACTCCACCCAGACACCTGCCCCACCCCGCTACAGGTTGACTCACCCTTTGCACTGGAGGCCTGGAGGATCAAGCCGGCCCTCCATCATGCAGCACGGCAGTTGGTGTACTAACCAAAAACAAAGAAGGGATTCACTGTACTTTGCTGGTGGTGAAGTGGTGGAAAGCTGTGTTTGCACATGGAGCGATGGAGGAGCTTTTTCTGGCACATACGCATCAGCTTTTTTTCCCATTGCATTTGTTTGCACTGCGATGCATTCAACCTTTTCTTTACAGTTCATGGTTTGGTCATTGGCAACAGTAGGCGCTTTGTTTCCTTTATGTAAGGAAATATTACATAAAAAAGAGACAGTATTTTAAGAAAATGCAGAATTATAGTAAGTGTATGATTTATATTTTTAAAATTTTAAAACAAGTGTTATTTCATGGGGAGAAATCCAAATTATGGAAAAGGTATGTATTTTAAAAAAAAAAAATTAATATTAAGAGGAAAAAATATATCTTGTGAAAAATGTATTTTTATAAAAAAAAAAGTTTTAATGTTCTGCGTTAAGAGATACAGGAAAAGTATTAATATGTTAAGAAAAAAATTTATGTCATAAAATGGTCTAATATTTACAACAAATAGTTACAACAACATACATGTTTTTATACTCGCCACATGTCCAAATACAATCCAGCCAAACATTTACATTGGTGATTTGTGCCTGACATCTCACGCAGGCTTCATGACAACTGAATATTTGCGTACTTGCACAGGTGTAAACAACGGCTTCCATTTTTGGCGGAAGGAGTTGGAATACACACACCTGACTGTTGTCTGGCACAGTGGAGTCTAAAGTCTGGCTGTGGACCACAGTTATTCACATGTGTACTTGCTGCTGGGGTTAAAATGTATTCTGTTAAACCTTCACATAAACAGTTCTTCATCTGAACGACTTCCACTGTCAGGAAGTGATTTTACTTTCAAACATCAACTTAGTTCAACACTAGCTTGCAAAAACCACCACCGCTTATTTACTCCCCCACTGAAAAGTGGAGTTTACGGTCTGTTTACTTCACGTGACAGGAAACTTCAAAATTATGTGGAATTTGAAAGCGACTGGAGGTGAAGGTCAGAATGGGTTTACGTATATTTTATTACTGCATTCAGAACAACAAGGTGATGACATGAATAACTTCAGACATTTAAATGTCGAATGTATAACAGAGTATAAAAGTTGCACTTTTTCTTTCTGAATTTGAATCTCTGAATGATGCTTTTAGAACACCTCTGTTGTCCTGACCAAACCTGAACTTTGTTAAACGAGAGAACCAAAGGGAACTAACTGATGAAATGGGAAAATAATACTGGCATTCACATGCTATGACAGGACATGTGAAAGAGCATTTGCAATGAAACTACTAATGTCTGCTTTTGAACTGCCTTTATGCTTGTTATGCTGGTGGGATTTGTTTGTTTGTTTGTTTGTTTGTTTGTTTGTTTTAACCACTAATAGTTACACCTATTTATTGCATTTTGTGGCTCTGGATTGTTTTCTTTTTTTTCTCAACTGAAATACGTTTGAGTTTCATGTAGCTTTGGAATTTTATTTTCTTCACTTTCTTTGAATTTTATTTTGAAAAGCAACCTGTCTGCATGGCTCTTCCTGTGTAGAGTACCATGTTGATTTTATTTTATTTATGAATAAATGTTTTTTCCTTCCATTCGAATGCCTACTTGCATGCTTCATCTGTGTGCTCTTTTTTCCTTTTTTTTCTTTTGGTGCTGCTCTTCTCTGTGGCTCATGAGGATGATGGACATGACAACCGTCATGTCCATCATCACTATGACTGATAGGTTCTCAGTAAATCACTGCAGAAATGTCCATGCTAACTGCTGTACAGTGTTTAACTAAATTATTTAAAAACAATTGCAAGTTTTTAGTTTGTACAAAAAAATGGAGCAAAAGACAAAACTGAGGATGTTGCAATTTCATGATATTCATCGAGAGAGTATCTGCAGGTTCACAGTGGGGTATTTTCTGTTGTGCTATGACTTGCTACCTTGCATAGGGAAACCTTGAGAAACAGTATAATGTGTTATGCCTGCAGCTGGTCATATCTTTATGAAGGTCAGCTGCTCCTCGGGCTCTGTCCATACTAGTGCAGGAAAGCTAGACTAGACTAGATGTATAGCTATCTGTTGAAACATACAATGACTGCTGACTTGAGATGACACATGTTACACTGCAGCAGTAGTTATGGCTGTGCTTTGGTTCTCACAATTCCAGCTGTTACACATCTGTCATAGAAGTGTTGCAAATTCAGACAGACTTACAGCCGAGCGTTTCTGCAGCACCGTCACCCTGCAACTCAGCGAGCTCCAGTCAGTCAGGCAAAGCAGGTACAGCTGTGCTCACAACCAGCACTAGCATACAGTCAGAAAACAGATGTATTAGCATTAAATGCACATCATCAGTGTATTCAGACAAAATGAAGGTTATCAGAACTCAAGTGCTTCATAGATGCTTTGACCAGTATTCTGTTCATTCCCAGTATATTTCTCATAAAAGTGAAGTTTTCTCTCTGCCAGTCCTACTGTAGAGGTGTAGAAGATCTTGAGAGTAACACATTTTGTGTATTTTGACCTAAACGAAGTTTTGACAATGGCAGCTTAAATAAAGACCGGAAACAAGGGGTGGGAGAAATTGGTATGACTGGCAACAAAGTGAAGGAGCTCATACTGGTGAGTTAAGGATATTGCATAGAAATAATAGGCAAAATACATTCAGCACCCACTGGCACACGTACGCACACACAACAACCCACACTTTACACACACTTTGTCTGAGCTTGTTTTAGTGTTCTGGCAATTTTACTTATTTAAAAGCTTCTGCGCTGACTACATTTTTTATTTCCCGCCTTCCATTTCCCATAAATTCCCATTAACTAGTTTATGGATCCAGTATCTCACTGTTTTATGGTCAACCATGTGCTGATCTTATTACATTTCTCATCAGGATGGATTCTTTTCTGCAGTGTCACTGTACTGAAACCAGGTTCTGTGTGTGTGTGTGTGTGTGTGCACGGACTTTATTGAGTGTAAATTTCAGTCTACACCACTCATCAATTAAAAGACTGTTAGACTATATCCTTAAAATATGTTACCAGTTTCTTATAGGGGAAGGCTGTCTAAAGAATTTGTACGGTGTAGATCACATATAAAGAAATACTGAATTTAAGTTTCAGTTGCCAGATTTAAAGACTTCTCTGACAGCAGAGTTTATCCAGCCATCAAACTTCATAATGTATTTTTAAGTTGAGGTTGAAGCATAAATTAAAGTTAATAAATAAGTTATATTTCGATAAAGCATGCAATAACATTTAAGAATGTTACTAATTACTATTACTGTAACAAATGAACAGCAAATTAGCTGTAACATTACTCAGGTGAACTTTGGAGAAAGTGGTAACAGATTTTACACTCAGCCTTCTAACATTCATGAACGGGAAGAGAAAACACGATACATGTGACATGAACGTTTCTGTGAAACTAATCAGAGTGTGAAAATACTACAAATGTCATTAACCAACACATACACTGAGCTCAAATCCTCACAACTGAATCTCCACCCCCTCCCCCTCACTTCTGACCCTTAACCCCACCTCCCTGCATGTGGGTGCAGCATGAAGCGAGCCAGCTCTATGGGGATACTTAACGTGGCGGACAAGGCTGCGAATGACCACTACCAAGTAAGCAACAAGACACGAGTGCAAAAGTATCTGCAGAGGGTTTTTAGTCCTGCTGCAGGCCAGGGGCAAAACCGCAATCAAAGGACTGCAGCTGGATCCCTAAACAAATTCTTAGAAATGATAAGAAATATCTCAAGGAGGCTTTTTCTTTAGAAAACAGTTAATCTGGGTTCGGTTAATCTGCTTTCGGTCTTCCAGGGAGTAATTTTAATACATATTTGACTTTTTAAAATTTCATCAATCTTCCCTCATTTGGAAATTGTGCATTACTATTTCAAGACAAAATAAGCCCACAGATGACAGTAAATGAACAAATATCCAAAGATGTGACCACAGATTTATGTTATTATGTTGTAGGAAAAACCAGTCTCTTAAATGATCAGAACCATTGGCAGATACTTTTTGACTCAAGTCTTTTATTTCATATTCTGATTTGTCATGTCTTTATAAACTGTTATTATCAAACCCTCCCCAAGGCTCTTATCATTCACTGTAAATAGTGATAAATCTGACATGGCTAACATCATTGTCTGTTTCACTAACAGTGTTTGATGTTCAATCAAATTTTTAGTAAGTTTGTTATTTTTTTACACATTGTTTTTACAACTTCAATTCTTTATTTTAACAGTGAAAAAGTGGTACATTGTATCCATAATTTCCTTTAGACTGCAATTGTAAGAAGGAATGTGTTTTTAATTACTTAGTATCATAAGAAAGTACAGCCTTGCCCTATTATAATTTCAGATAATAACTCTTGTTGTTTTATGATCTGTTGAAAGCTTTATGTATTTCTGAAAGTTTTTGATTATATCAAAAAAAACCCAAAAATGTACGGGACCCAATTTTTTGCTCTACCTATAATGGAAAACATTCACTTTCCTGTGTTCTCCATCTGATTTCTGCTTGTTTAATTTCCTCTAGGAGCGAAATAATTGTCTGAGAAAAAGCCGTGACCTGAGTGCCAGCCACACTAACCTGGCGCGTTGAAGGTTTTTCACTCTGAGGAGGTGAAAGGTCACAGAGAACTGAACTGAACTTCTGACCATCCTCGATGTAAATAGCTGTTTGTGAAAGCTTGACATCTCCCGTATTCTACTTCAGCATCATCCCATCATGTGCTAACTATACAGATTTTAGTCTTTCATTGCACTCTTGAAGGTTTATGATCTCAGATGGTAATTTGTGGTATGTAATTATATCAGTACATATCAGGAGGGGGTGGGCTGCTGTATGTTTCCTTGTTCCAGTCTAATTCTATGTGCATGTACTGTATGTAAGTGTGTGCTGTTGTGAGTGGCTACTCTCTCAGATTACAGTTTAATTTTTTTTGGTTTTTCCTATACTAGTGGTGGTAAAAGCAGGCGCAGAGTGGAGTTTTAATTTTAAAATCACTTCTAATGTGAGGCTAAAAACTGCAGTGGATGAAGCCAGTAGGCAGTCTTAAATGACAGAGAGGAGCTCAGTCATTCTTTAGCTATACCCTAACAATAACTATAACAGTGATTTAAATATCGCTACTGCTAAATTTGCTGCTATGGTAGGAGTAAACTGCAACCTCTGGACCTGGAAAGGGTCAGTGAGGGACCAAAAACCCACAATTCATCATCCAAATCAAGTAAATCTCCATAACCGCCCATTTTATGAAAAGCCCAGCTTCACAGCAGAGACAAGCGTGTTTTGGTCTTTATAGATCATCTCTATCTGCATGCAGCTTCAAAGAGTGCATGTTTTCTATATATATAAAAGTTACCTGTTCACTCTTTCTAAGCTTTAAACCTATGCATAGCAAAAAAAAACCCCAAAAAGATTTAAAAGTGGATACAATTGAATCTTATTTAAAGTTGTTTTGTTTGAGCCTGTTTTTGCTAGCATCTCTTTTGAAGTGACCACTAGCCAGCTCTCTAGCTTTATCTGATCATTTTCCAGGTGTGCCGTTTTTCATCCAAGTATGTTTTGAAAAAGGAAAATAGAAGATTGTGAAGGACAGAATGCTGAACCCGAGGCTTCACAGCCATAGTCAGCAAACCAGTCGTTTAAATCACTATCGCTATGTTCATCTTTTAGATAAAGCTGCACTGAATTTCACTTTATTTTGCTAAAAGCTTTCAGATGCTTCATTAATTTGCTGCTCTGCTGAAACATGGCTAAAGAAACCATGTTTGTCTTCACTGGTACCGATCATTAAAACGACAAAGACCTACGATTTAGCTCATGAATCACAGTTTTTGGCCAGTGTTGATGATTTGACACCATTTTCTTTATATTTGGTTGTGTGCTGAATTCTAACTCTGCCAATAAGAACAGTTCTACTTCCTAAGACTCTTCACTCTTTGTTCTGCAAATTTCCAAATGAAGTTGTGCACAGGGTGTAGATTAGTTGAGAAAATCTCCTGATGTGTATGAATCTCAGCAGCTGTAGTTCACAAAAACATGGAAACCTGTCCAGGGATCTTTCAGCTGCCTCTTCCTAAAAATGATCCGTCCTGTGTTGATTGATTGAATATTTAGCTTTTGATGTAGGAAATTCCATGTTTACATGATTTGGGGTTTGTAAATTATGTTTTTATTTGTTTCTGTCTTTGCGCTGTTTCTTTTTATATCGTTCTGTAATAAGCCTTGAGAGCAGGATCCGTGAATTGACTAGCACACGAAGGCTGGCCCGCACACTCTCAGGACTGAGGCTGTACTTCCACACTGACTACAAACTTAATGTCACTCCAGACTTTTTAAGTAATGACGAGAAATGTTTGCAGGACTTTCAATGACGAGACAAAACTTTGCCATGTGAGTGAAGTTGAACCAAAAAGTGGAAAAGTTTTTAACGATTTTTAATGTACATTTTTTGAAGTGGTTTAAATTTCCAGTTAAATATAGAGATATCCAACATAATCCTGGTATGAATACTAAAGGACTTATCATTAAAAAACATTTAAACAATTTCTGTTTCTAAATGTACGAGTTGATTTGTGATTGTTCTAAGAGTTCATCTCGAGATTAAACTTTTCCTTTTACTGCCCTTTTGATAACTTTATGTTAAATGAAGGTAACTATGTGTACATGCTCACTTCTTTAAAAGGAAGCTACATAATATTTAACATATTTAATGTCCTTTACTGGTGGCAAGCTTGAACTGAAAGAACATACAACAGGTTAAATGATGATGAGGTGCCTTGTTTAAGAAATCCCAGAGATGGGATATTTCGTGTGGAGAGTTTCTTCTGTTTGAGCTGGGCTGTGTATTTACATTTCTTTTCATTTCAGACACACATGAATGCACATGATGTCCATTTATGGAGAAGTACGCTGCTACAAAATATATTTTCTATATAGATTGAAGTTTCAGAAATAATGAAAATCAAAAATTATTAGAGTGCACATGCAATGGTAGTCTGCAGCTGAGTCCTTTTGTTTATACTGCCTCAGGCATATAGATACATTATAGATGTATATTTTCACAGGAACACAGAAGCCTGTTCTGAAATGTTAGAATTTTGTCTAAACGCACCTAAACAGCCTTACCAACTGCACGACCTTTGTGTGCATGTCTTTGAATTTAAAGTCTTTAAATTAGATTCGAGCAAAGATTATACAGACTAGATTAGAAGATTAGAAATTTGGTGAGAGATCCTGAGCCAGCTTTTAACATTAACATTTAAGATGAAATTAAACGCAGTGAACTTCACATTGGACAAATTCAGTACAATGTGATCTAGACGAAGGCGTTACAGTAACATATATACAAAGATGCGCACACAAAGGATTGATGAGAAAAGCTCAAACAGATGAAACAGCACAAAAAAATAGAATAAAGCCTCCATATCAGCCTAGGAATGACCACAGTGGTCTGTTTAATAAATGCACTAATGATAGAGAAGTCTCCACAGATCAACCATAATCGGGTTTAACCGTCCATCTCCAAACAACCCTAGCACATTTGTAAATCTTTGGCATGAACATCTAGTTGAGAAGGATTTGCACTGGAAGCATCAGACTGACGTAAAGTAATAATGATGATCTCCCACCTTAAGCTGCATTGATTATTGTACTGTGTGACTCATGCATTTGCTGCATTGTGCGTTGTCTCTGTTGTGTTTCCTGAATCTTACTTTTTTTTTTTTTGGCAGGGTTGTGCAATATGGTTCTGTTTTCATTTCTCTAATTTGTTGGGGGGGAAGCCCTCTTTACATCTCACAGATCAGACCTTTAACTTCAATAAAAATCGACACCTGACGAATTCATTCACATGAAGGTGTCTCAAACCATTATACTGTATTTGCCTTTTTTTTTTAATTATTTGTTCCAATTTCCCAAATGAATCTTCAGTGGTTTTGATGAAATATGCAACACAAAGAAAAACGTTTTGAATGGAGTGTACACAGATACAATGCAAAGATGTTGAATACAGAGGTTCAAGAATAACTTGAACTAAATACAATAATTGTGAAAATCTCAGAATGTGGAGTTATTGAAATTATTTGACTTATTTTAATATTTTAACATTTTAAATTCAGCAATTTAAAAATAAATGCGACCTGATTTTTTACTTTGGCTATGCTCAATTAAAACAGTAAAGATCAACCCACTGGAATTTGTTGTGCAATCAAGTCACTTTCGTTAAAAGTCGGGCATTAAGCTTTGTGCAAGATGTGGTTTTATTTTCAAAATTACTTTAAATTCAAGCAACTTAAAATTTTATATCATCATTTGATCATTTCTTTGAGTTCATATTAAAATGTCAGTATAGGAAACTGAAACCTTATTTGGTAACATACAGTTATAATAGTGGATGCTAATATTAAACATCAAGCAAAAGGTTCATATAATGAGGCCAGCCCCCCCTCTTCGCTTGGTGTAGTATAAGAGCGATATCTCGCTGTGAGCACAGGAGCCCCACCCACCTGCTGTTCAAACCTTCTATTTGCAAGGGGCAGCCAATCAGTAGAAGAGTCATGGCGGCTTGTTTTAGGTAGATGACTTTGCCCAGAGTGAAGTAACTGAAAACTGTGATCAAGAACAGGGAGTTTGGGGAGAAAAACGGACAACTGCTAGAGAAAGGACTGCTGTGAAAACACAAGTAAGGACTAATATATTTTAAGACTACTTAAACATAAACTGAGGGAGGAAAGTGTGCACATCGCTTGTACATTGACACAGCGTGAGCTAAATAATGTCGGTGATATAATGGATGTAGCCCCATCTTCCTGCACCAGTCCACAACAAAGTGCATCCAAAGTGTAGTCCCTTTTCTAAATCACAAGACTTAAAAACACATGTTTTTAAATGGAGCATGAAATTATTTTAAGCACACATAATAGCTCTGTAAACTCTGCCCAGGTCGTTGTTTAATTTGAAAAACTACTGTGCTCTGTGTCTTCTGTATAAAGTAAGTAAATGCTCCTGTAACCAAAGCTTACCTGTAGTCTTCTGCTAAGCTGGTAATCATCTTAATTACAATATCGTTAGAGAGTAATAATGTGTAACAGAACAGAAACTGATGAGGGAACGGGTACTGTTGTTCAGCACAGCTCACCAAGTTATGCAGAAACCTGTTGGTGTTTTTTACTTTTTAGATCTGCCAGATCGTCTTTTATGTCCGCTCAAATTATGGTTGTCCAAAGTAAACTATACATATCTATAATTTTTTTCACAAATCATTATCTACCTTTCATGTACTAAATTTAGTGCTAGTTTTAACAACCCCGCATGTTTACTTCTTCTTCCATGACCAGCTAATGTGTTTACTTTATTTTTAATGGGAGGGGCTGCAGAAACCAAAACACTCAACTTTGCCGAGAAACACGTGATCTCATATCTGTGCTCTGATTCGCTAAACAGCCTGTCAATCATCCTGAAAGGTGTGTCCAGATGAGAGTTTTGTGGTCGAAGGAGACTCCGCTGAACACAGAGGAGAAACACACGCTGAAGGAAAATGTCTTCAGTTCCTGACGGGAAGAAACTCATCCGTAGTCCCAGCGGCCTTCGCATGGTTCCGGAAAACGGCGCCTTTAGCAGTCCTTTCTCGCTGGACGAGCCGCAGTGGGTCCCGGACAAAGAGGTGAGACAAGCGTCGGATTTGGTTTGACAGCGACAAGCGATCACAGCCGTGCAAACACGAGAAGCTTAACTAAGGCTTTCCGGTTGTAGTTTCCAAAATAAAATCACCTCTCTGTTAAACTAGTGGGAATAAAATTGTAAAGTAAGAGTCTAGTGGTAGCTTTAGCTGTAGTTTTGATGATGTTGTATTTTATTCATTGTAGTACAACTTGAGAAAAAAATTTTTGTGCGCTGTTTTTTGTTTTTATAATCCTGACAGCAAAAGTCACTGGACTATTTTAAAAAGGAAAATACAAGGAAACATTCAAAATTAACAAATATTTACATTTTACATTAGAATAGTGATTGTTTGGGCCTTTAAAATGTAAGACCCTGTTTCAACTTATCAGTGATAATCACATGGTGTTTAAATAGCTGCTTTTATTTGAACGATAGTTCAAGGACCAGATATATTTATCAAAACGTGTGGGCGTAGTAAATATTTCTTTTTAATTTGTTTTTTATTGTTATTTCATACAATCAGTGCTTTTCAGATTAATTTGCGTATTTATTCTGAGTACATCCAGTACAGATGGTCACTATATGATGATCCTATCCATCTTGAAAAATACAGTAACAGTATAATGACAGATTCAAAATAGAAATATTTAAAAATAATAAATGCACAGTTGATGATAATAATCTAAGATGCATCTATCCGATCCTTTAATGTTGTTAACTTTAATAAGTCAGTTTTTAGAACAGTAGGTCTAAATATGTCTATTAAATTATTAAAAACAACACATCTTCTTATCTGTTGCTGTAATATTTCTAAATGTTTCTTTGCTCAGCCATTGGTTAATTGTTTGGTTTAAAAGTCGTGACTGGGTGGGTTATACTATCACACCTAAAAACTACAGCTCGACTCTAAATTCAAACTCTAGTCTTTCGGTCGTGCGCTGTGATAGGCTTTTATTTTTTGTAGTGAAACGGCTCTACATCCGGCTTACATCCTGCTGACTGCGGCGAGCTTGACGGCGCTCCGGACATCGCAGTTGGCCGCTGGACTGGGCGTTGCAGGCTGTCACGGCCAGCCTGGCAGCAAACGGAGCTTGTTAGCTAGTTAACAGCTACAACTAGCGGCAAACTTAATTGTAGCGTTTGTCCGCGTCACAGTGACGAGACCCCTCTGGTTGTGTGCGTGTTTGACTACCAGCACGTAGGTTAGCTAACCAGCAGTAGGAGCTAGCCCTTCGTGCCTCGAAGGCTGTAGTTTTACAGTGCAGTAAAACTACAGCAGGACACACAAAGACTGTCTGTCTGTGAAAATGTAAACTCTGGCTGCACACAGGGACACTTTGACCAGACTGGCAAAGTTAATCATTTACTATTTGCTGACCTCAGCCTTCAGTTCTTTAATAAGAGGAGCAGGAATTAAAAACAAGCCTGGCACTAATTACAAACCCATATCTTCTGATCTGCCAGTGATAAATCATAAGTTTGATGGTTTAATGAACAGTTACCACTTGTCAGTAATGACCATAAGACACAAGAGCCATTGACACATACTATTTTTATACCGTTATTATTTACACATACAGCTGCAGATCTATTGTGGCTTGGCTAGCTGCTGATACTTGTGCAAAACTTTAAAGCAGTACTTTAACTGAAAGCTGTCCAGCTCAGCATGTTGTGTAACGTCCTGTTTTTTCCACTCTTCCCGTCTTTCAGTGCCCCAGATGTATGCAGTGCGACACCAAGTTCGACTTCATCAAAAGAAAGGTCTGTTTTGTTCCTGACAATGCGAACTCTGCAGAAAATCTCGACTTCCTGTCAGACTGGACAAACATATGGTGGACAAACCAGCGTTTAGTATAAATGTTTTGTTAAAAAATGTGAGGCTTTCGTTTGTGTTGCGAATGCTTAGATGAGTTACTCCTCCTTGGATCATTTAGTCAGAGCCGTGTGTTGATATTTCCTGCCAGTGTCCACCGACATAACGCTGTAAGCCTCCTGCCACCATTTCATTTTACATCTGTCGAGTTAAAATAATCACCCTTACAAGTGTCTTCAATATTTGCCTCTTTTGCCATTATCAGAGCCAGCTCTAGACTGCTGACTGAAGTCAGTTTCTAGGTCTTGGTTATCTTGAGGTTTTAGCACAGTTTTGATATTTTTAAGCTTCCCGATTCTTTAAAAGTGCAGTGAAGCAGATGTGGTTTTGCTTTGCCTCAGTCTCTTGTACTCTTGTTGAGAAGTGTTTCTTCATCAGCTCAAAGTCTCTGATTAAAAAACACATTCTGTCCAAAACTGACACACTTACTCAATCAGAGTGCAACAGAAACCCACCAGCACAGAGGTGGATCCCCCAGGAAATCAAGGGCTTCTATTTATTTGTTATCCAGGCCTCAGAGGTCTCAACATTCGATGTAGGCAAGCCAAAAAATTTGGGAACTAATGTAACTCATGACTCACCAAAATCAGTGATGTGGAAATTTACTGGAAATTGCTCTGATAATAGAAAAAAATAGACGTAACAACTTTGTACCTCCAAAGTCTGCACAATATCCATTATACATGTTATAATAAACTTTATTAATTAGTAGTGGGATCTGTTACCGTACAAATTAATACAGGAGCGAATGTGTTCGACTGCAGTCAAACTGGAATAAAACAAGGAAAGTGGACTCTTCTATATTGTTTAGAAACTGTTATTTGAAACCATTAAACACATTTTATGCTAAAAACTTTAGAGTATAAGGATATCCTCCATAGTTGTTTAACGTTACATAAAAGAAGTTGTCCCTATTATCATGTTTAGTAATTTGCAGATAATGTCTTTTGTTTCCATATAAAAAAGTAGGAGAAGTGCTGTGTCCTCATCAGAAATGAAATCATATCTACTTGTTTTGTTTAAATTGTATACTCTACTGTAAGCTGTAGGACATACTGTGACTGAGAGTGAGTCAGGCACACAGTTGGGGGTGTAATAGGAGTTCTGATTGGTTGGAAACGGTGCTGTATCTCAGCCAGATTGTTTTGAGATTTCCTGAGAACGTCTGAAGTGCCTAACACAGACATCCTAACCCTGACAATCGGCCAGGCAATCAGACTGTCTTGTGTTGTCTCCCACAGCACCACTGCCGGCGGTGCGGCCGGTGTTTCTGTGATAAATGCTGCAGTAAGAAAGTGCCGCTGCAACGCATGTGTTTTGTTGATCCGGTGCGGCAGTGCGCCGAGTGCAGCCTGGTCTCCCAGAAAGAGATGGAGTTTTACGACAAGCAGCTCAAAGTGCTTCTGGGAGGTGAGGACTCTCATACTTTAAAAAAAGGCTTAGATCCAGAGCGTCTGCCTGGGTTTTGTTTTCCTGTAATCATGCTTCGACACATTGACTCCATGCAGAAAGCCGGAATATGATCAAAGTAATTTCTGAATTAATCTTATCAGTCCCTTCCTGGTAATCCTGTTGATTGTGGGACAGTGTGCAGCTATAAATACACAGCAACAGTGTGGCTCCTTATCAAGAATCCATCAGCAGCCTGGAGTGTAGAGGAACAGCCGGCTGCACGTTTGGAGTTTGTGTGTGTTTGTATCAAAGGCTCAGTATGAAGGAAAGAAAGAAATAAAGATGAAGAGCTCGAGCAGCAAACACTGCCATACTTTGTTTTCTCCTCCTGTTTGACAAATGAGCCACTGACTTGGAAACAGTCCTCAGGTTTTCACTCTCCACTCTCGTGATGCCTTTGTTAGTGTCTGAAATGTGTTTATGTCCGCCGTAACAGGAGGCACCTTTGTTGTCACTTTGGGAACGTCGGAGAAGTCTGAAACCATGACGTGTCGCCTCTCCAACAATCACAGGTTAGCTCTTCTTTAAGTCCGCACATACTTGACATACCAAATATTTACTTTACCTGAATTACAAAAAGCTACCTGTCACATCTGGCCATGTTGTTTTTTTCCCTTCTATGAAATGTCTCCGTCTGCAAATTAGGCTGCCAGCTGAACAGGATCAAATATGTCCGCTGCAGTCTTAGGAAACATAAATAACATCTGTACTAGAGATGGCACGATACCACTTTTTTATGTCCGATACCGATACCGATATCATAAATTTGGATATCTGCCGATACCGATATGAATCCGATATAGTGTTTTTTAATCAACAAAACTGTTTTTTAAAATATCTTGCTGCATTTTGCAAGTCTGCAAGTTCATACTCAAGTTTAAAACAACAACTACACTAAAGCTATTCTGTTATACCTGTATACAAAAAAAATATTTCATAGTTCAACAATACTGATCAATCTAATAAACTTAAACCTACACCATCCTCCCTATTCTGGTATTTTAAAGAGTACTTAGCGTAAATATTAAGCAACCTAACTAATAGGGTTCCAACTCCCAGCAACAACAAAAATAAATAAATAAAAAATAGGGAACCACCCCTCACGCTCCACCTCATGATGCTTAATCAACGTAATCAACCTTAATTTGATGAAGTGTGAAAAAAATGCACAGAAATCAATTATTTTTCAAGAAATATTAAATAGATTCAACATCTTTCTTCAGCAAAATTGCAGACTGCACAGATGGTACCTTCCCAAAGGAAAAAGTACTATAGCTTACTAGGGTATATATATTTAGACTTAATAGTTACTATATACAGTAATTGACTTCTATTCATTTTACATCAAATTAAAACTTTGGGTGTCAGATAATTATTTATTAAAAGCTAGACATTTTAAATGAGAATAAGAAAGAAAAGTATGTCTTTCTGCCCCCTTTTCCCAGTTAATGCCCTATCGGCCCCCCTGGCTAAACTTTGCTAGATCCGCCCCTGCACAGTTACCATATGTAGAAAAAGATCCTTGAGTAGAAAGTAATATTAAATACATTCTAACAACAGCTGATCAAGCTTAAATGTGCTGCTGTTGTTCAGCCGCTGGTTTGCTCTTTCTGGTGCAAAGTGGGCCAAAAACAAACAAGACAGACGGACTCGCGACAGAAAAGCCGAACAGCTGATCATTAGCAGTTTCATGATTGAAGTAGCAGCCGGAGAGCGAGAGGCAGTCGCTTGTTAAGCTTAACGCAGGAATGCTTTACAAACATTCAGAGATGGACTTACACACTTGCTTTACTTCTCTCGGGGATAACTTTGTCGGAGATGAAATGCCGGGTTGCTAGCGAAGCTCCAAATGCTATCCAGACCACCGACAGGTCCCGCATGCCACAGCCGCTCTATCACGTGATGCATACTGCTCCGACGTGCTAACGTTCTGAGGCGAGTTACGGCGTGTTGCAAGTTTTGTGAGGTGCTTTCATGATATTTAATGGATCGGATTACATTTTTTATTTTTCTCCGATATCCGATCCAGTAATTTAGGTCAGTATCGGACCGATACCGATACGTAATATCGGATCGGTCCATCTCTAATCTGTACACAACAAATAAGTACTTCAGTTTTAACAGTTGTCCTCGAGGGGGGGAAAGGGGAATGCATTTGAATGTTTTTGTTATAAAGAAGAGTGGATAGCATAGATTCAGATCTTACATTAGCTCATAAAATAACGAGAATACTTATAATTAATATTTAAAAAAAAAAACAGTTTTATTTGCACCAGTTTTTGGTAAGCTGTCTGTCTCTGACCTGAACGTCAGATATCTGTTCCTCGATGGTGAAAGCCACTTTGAGGTTGAGCTGTCTCGGATCTCCAGCATGCAGATTTTGACAGATGGGACAAGTCCAGGAGGTGAGTGTGTGAAATAAAATTGTGTTACAAGTAAGCATATATATGCGTGTGTGTGTGTTTAATTTTTTGAGCACCTTTCTCTCTGTTTCTTTCTCCCGTTTCCTCCTCGAGATGTTGTCACTAACTGATAAATTTCTGTTTTTTCTAAACTAACAAACGTTCTTTTCTCTGCTGCTTTGGCCGCCCGGTGCTTCTTCCTCCGGGCTCAGAGAATGACATTCACACTTACACCAGTCTACTGGACAGTCACTTTATCTCTGAAGGTTAGCTTTCATTTGCTTTACAGTGTCCGTCTGTCAACAGTTCCTCATCGATGTCGCTGCATTTCTGCATGTTTCCCACATCAGCTTTCTTTCTTTTCAAGGAAGCTGCCTGAAAATGGAGCGTCTGATACATCTGCGGTTCCTTTTTTTTATCACTGGGTCCCCGAAGCATCTCAGAGGAAACTGAAATGCCAAACATTTCAGTTTGTTACTCTGATCATGATTAATATCCTAAGCAGCCTGATTAACCGATTCATTTGGCAGAAATTCAGTTGATGAGTAGTCATTCATCAGTCGCCAAAATAATCAGACGGTTCACTCTGAAGGTCTTTCAGGGATACATGTGGGCTATTTCTTTATCATTTCTTTACAAACTGGGCAGGAAAAGCTTCCGAGTTGATTTCATGCTGCAAAACAAATCCACACACTGGTGAGCGGCGAATGATCACAGGATCGTTTCCATGGTAAAGAAACTTTTGCATAATGCTCCATCAAATGGTCAATGGGCATGTCAGGATTCAAGTGTATTACAAGGACAAATCATGTGGGCAAAGTTTCAGCAGAAGGTGCAAGCCAATTAGAAAGACTGTAAAAATGCATTGATAAAGGCCTGTGAGGTATAGGAAGTGTATAGCTTGACTTGGTGTCCTAACAGCTCTTAACAGAACAGGTGCACAGCAGCCCAAAACATACTATGAAAGCACCCAGAGAATTTGAGTTTTCACTCATTAATAGAAAAATCCCCTCAGCTGAATGAGTTGATGAATGCTACAATGCTCATAAACATGATTTCCATTAGAGAGATGAGTTCGATGCTTTTGGGACACTGAACCTCGACTGTTGCATGTTTCCTGACATGAAATCATTTCATCATCAGTGTCGTCACGTGCATTTCCATTAGTGTTTGCCTTATATTGTTTTAAAACCGTCGTCTGTTTCTGTCCTGAGTTTACACTCTTCTAGTTTCTGACATATGTTAAATCTCATTTGAAAGGGTCCAAGGCTCAGTAGAACTGTGATTTCATGGGGAAAAGGGATATGTAGTGACTTAATTTGTGTGTCAGACTATGTGTACAACTTGATGTTTGCATGAAAAAAACTAAAATGACCTCTTTTAAAGTTGCTTTTTTTGTTGTTTGACTCAAAGAATACAGTTTACTTAACAGACAGAGGATGTCTTTCAGTCATTTTTTAAATATATATATGTGTGTGTGTGTGTGTGTGTGTGTGCGTGTGTGTGTGTGTGTGTGTGTGTGTGTGTGTGTGTGTGTGTGTGTGTGTGTGTGCGTGTGTGCGTGTGTGTGTGTGTGTGTGTGTGTAGGAGGGTCAAGAGCCAGTGGAATGCTACTCCATTACAAGCCGATGGGCTCTCAGGATGTCCAGCAGCTCCGCATGGAGGCAGCAGATGATAAGAAGGTGGCTTCATTATGGTTGTCTGCAATGCACAAGGTAAAAAAATAAGCAGCACACCTAAGACGGTCCATGCAGTGCAGATAGGTAACAGTTGCCCAGCCCACTTAAAGTGCCTAAAAATGGTTGGAGAGGAGTGAAAATGATTTATTATGCTGGAAATAAAGAATTGTGCTAGCATAAAATCAGGTCAGGGACACACAAGAGTCCCTCCCTACAACAGACACTGCTTTATGTCCTTTATTCACACACTGGTCCTTGCCATCACCAGTGTGTGAATGGGTGGATGACTGAATGTCTAAAGCGCTTTGGGGTCCTTAAGGACTAGTAAAGCGCTATACAAATACAGGCCATTTACCATCTAAATAATAAGTAAAACAATCAAAAAAGAGTTTTGATTCATGCATCAAGTTGTAGTCCCACAGGCCTCAAATGTAAGCTTATCAGAAGTGAAGTTTTGAATGTATTACTGTAAGCTGAATGTTTTGGTTTGTCAGTCATGCAGAGAAGTTTCTGCATCTAATATTCAGCTATGAGTTTAATTAGTTACACATTTTTCTACATTTTTGGGTTGCAGAGAATAATATGGCTCTGAATAAGCACCTCTTCATGTTTTCTTGATGTTTTTCTGTTTCATGGTGTCATTGAAATGCTTCTCATTAATATGGTCAGTCAGCCTTATTGCAAACATTTGATAAAAACATGGTGGCGTGCTAAATAACAGATCAAAAGGCAGAACAAAGGACAGCTCAGGCTGATTATAGTGCTGTGGAGCAAAGTCTGGAAAGGTGGATGTAGTATCATAACCTGTCCAGTGGCGCCCCCATCAGGCCAGAGCTTGCACTTTTATTTATTTTACATGTTTTTACATTTTATTTTATTTTTTGGCTAAAAAAGCCATCAGTCTCACACAGCACTGTAGCTGAATGTGGTCTGTAGCGTGCTTGTTGAGACAAAGCAATAAGAAATCAAGAGCGTTTTTATTTCCAAAACTATGGAACTCTAACTTTTTCTCTGCCTGTTCTTTCCAACAGGCAGCCAAACTGCTGTACGAAGCTCGAGACCAGTGAGGACCAGAAGCGAAGCTCCAGGCAGCACACACCCAAGTGTTTTGTACCCATCTCGGTCGGGTTTGGTACCCTTTGGATATTATTAACGCCACTTCCTCTTCTGCTTATCTGTCCGATTCCTCATTGGTTCTTGATACCAGTTCCATTCATGGTAATTTTTGCAAATGTTTGTATGAAAAATGACTTTTATTACCTCTATAACCAGTACTTTGTACATAATGTTTACCACAAGTACGCTGCTTGGACCTATTTTTAAACTTTAATTTTTTTTTTAAAAGAATTTATTTGACGTTGACTTCATTTAATCCTCTTTTGTTTTAATTCATAAATCAGGGCATGCAGCATTAATGTTTCGACTCAAAAAATATAACAAGAAGAAGAAGGTTTGTTCTTTTTTGCCAATTTAAAATTATTTATAGAATTCATTAGATTTTAATTTAATTTTTTAAAACATTAAACATGTCACAAAATGAGGCATCGCACCTTTTTTATAAACCACCTTCCATGGTTGAATTATGGTGACATTATAACTTTGTTATGCTGCTACAGGAGAAGTGATGAAGTGTGTCCTTGCAGGTTTACTAGGTCACCTTAACAGAGCCAAGCAGGGACTTGGTCATTGAACTGTCCGCAGTAGCCAGATCTTCCACACAGAGCGTCATCACAAGTAGTTTGAAGGACAAATCCACCCTGAAATCCTTTATCGCAGACAGAAAAGCAGCTTTCTGTGATGCTACCGGCACTTCAGGATTCAGCTGTGCTGCATTTCTGGTAATCTCATAATAAGAAAAGGTGTGAACAAACACAGTTGTTCCTGAAATGCCAATAACATCACAGACTTGCATCCAATGTATATGAAAGTAACATTACATGGTGGATTTTTCCTTCAGTGACAGTTCCGTTTAAATGTTGAAAGTTTAGGTGAAATCTTCTTTTTCAGTTATTAGCTGCTTCAAATATTCACAGTCGTACATCTTTAGGCCTTTTTGTCTAAAAACTTCAACTTTTCACTGATTCTAGTGAAGTATACACACAAATACATAAATGCTTTAAATATAGTTTCATGCATTAAAGTTTTGTACAAAATATATTGCTGAATACTCCTACTTTAGCACAAGCTGTGTATGTATTTGCATAATTTTTAAAGCTGAACATATGACTCTAGTTTTTGTAATACTTGTATATTCCTTTTTGCCATTACTCTAAAGCCCCCAAACATTTTTTTAATCTTTATTTTTGTCATTATTGTGCAGACCAACAAACAGGATGTCAGATCTCAGCTATCCATCAGCCATGTTGAATTGACGGGTCTTTCAGTTAGCAGGTTGTTACTTAGTTATTCTAATCAAAGACATGATGGTTAAAGTGTTGAGCACAAGAAAACTATAATTTTCATTTGCTTTGCAGACAAATTTATATGCTAAAGTACTCTATTTTTAAAGAAGAAGAAACTGAAAGAAGGTGAAACTAAAGGCTGTTTAGTATGTGGCTTTAGTGTTCATAGAAGCCCAGTTTTTACTGTTAAAACAGTTTAAAATGGGGGTAGTTTGGGGAACTTTGGATGAAGCTGTATAAAAATCATTGTCTTAAAAACATTTATTAAGTAATAAGCGTGAGCATTGTGACACAAAGTCACATTTTCAGGGGTATGTCATGGTCTTCAGCACAGCGGCAGATACTTACTGTCAAACTTTGAGCATATAATAATAATAACAGGTCGTCATACTGTAGGCGGCGTATATACCGGATGGCAAATAAATGAACTTCCTGTCAGGAGGAAAACCCTGGAAATAGTCAGTAAAATTAACTTTTAGGTTCTATTTTTTTAAATAAACTGTGTACTTCATTCTACATCTGAGTTAACGTGTCCGTTAAACGCACAGCAGCTCGTCAGCTGTTAATGTTGTAGTACAGTTTGGTGCAGTTTTACAGGCATCTGCGTGTCTTCCTTTTTCCCCAAGCTTGAGGAAAGAAATTAATGGTTTAATAGAGCACAGAACGGGCTAACATTTGGTGAAATGTCTGACTCCCCCCTCCCCCCACTTTACCGCTTGTGAAAATCGCAGTGAAAAAAAATGTTCTCCACCCCAACACACACCCCTTTGTGACAAAGGTTATTTTTATACTCACCTGAGAATTAATGTTGCTGTTATTTGGTTTCATGTTCTTCGAAGAGACGATAGTGAAGTGTTTGTTTGAGACATTTGTGTGTTCCTGCTTTGAAGTATTGTTGTACATTGACAGGGTGTAAAGTTTTCCCAGTCAACAGTTGCTGGTGATGAAAACGGGTGTTAATGACTGCACAGTCTAGAACAAAAATGATCTTTAGTCATGCATTCCCCCCAGTACCGCATGTTGCACACTAATGGGATATTATTTTTACTCCTGTGTTAATTTTATTTTATTTTTTTTAAATCTCAGTAACACTCTGAACTGAAACTAATTGGTTCAAGTTTAATCAGTTGAAAACAGATGCACATCTACAGACTTTTGTATCGTTGGCTCAGTGTGCAGCTCTTTCTTTTAAAATGTAATGATTTTATTTTAAGTTTGCACTACATTTAAAATCACCAAGTCAGCCAGTGTTTGTATCTGCACTTTATGGCCACTTTTTCCCTATCAAATCTTTTATTTTGCTCAAAATGCTAAACTGCATCCCTTCGATGGATTTTTCTTTTAATAAAGTCCAGTGTTTTTAAATCTGCTGTGCTGTTGTTATTTGAAAATGGGATTCCTGTATGAGGCGAAGAAATGCTGACCTGGTAGAAGATTTCAAGGCCATCATTCTACATTGACCCAACATTCAAAATAGTTTCCATCTTCGTAAAATTCATACGTTTGGTTTACCTGCTTAATCCCTGGAGGTAGATACTGGGATTATTATTTTTCCTCCGTTAACGCTGCATTGCCAGAAGTATTCGCTCACCCATCTGAAACATTGAATTCAGGTGTTCCAATCACTTCCATGGCCACAGGTGTATAAAACCAAGCACCTAGGCATGCAGACTTCTACAAACATTTGTGAAAGAATGGGAGCTCAGTGAATTCCAGCTTGGTACCATGATAGGTTGACCATCTGTGCAACAAGTCCAGTCATGAAATGTCTTACCTACTAAATATTCCGAACTCAACTGTGAGTGGTAGAAGCAAATGGGAATGACAGCAACAGCCAAGAAGCGGTAGGTCTTATAAAATCACACGACGAGGTTATAGCATAAGCTGAGGCAAATAACAGATCAAGAACAGAGCGCTTCAAGGACCGAGTTTCCATGGCTGAGCAGCTGCGTCGAGTGCAATGCAACGCGTCAGATGCAGTGGTTTAAAGCAGGGGTTCTTAACCTTCTTTTGACCTCGGGCCCCAACTTTTCCACTACAAAGTGCCCCAGGGCCCATTCAGATATTAACTGTATTGAATACATTATTGCTTTTGGTTTGATTTATATTTAATAACTAAATCAAATCGACTTCATTTTAACAGCTAAAACCCATCTTTTCTCTTCATCTGCATTTTTGATCTGAAAGTAGAAACAACTATAACGAGGAGAAATGGAATTTTATAGGTGACAGATTGTTCTTCTGACCAATAAGCTGGAGTCAGAACCTGTGATTTATCCTCCCTGACTATTGAGTGATTTTATATGCTGATGTTATTTTCTTGTTTTGAGTCAAACTAAATTTCTATAGGAACTCTGTGTTAAAGGCTCAATGCACCAAATTGAGTTTTGATAAGAGTTTTTTTTCTCATGCAAGGAAAGACACAAACTGCTCAGAGGGATTAAAGTTAAATGAGCTCATAGCACTACGTTGGCTTTATCAGCCCTGCACAGAACAGATCGGTCTTAGACTCTTTGATTCTCTTAAATAAGTAGAATCTGAAACTGAAGGTTTTAGATTAAATCTGATTCCTAAATTAAGAAGTAAATCTTAAAGAATAATCTAGGTTTGTAATTTGGAACAAAGTTTGGTTAATTAAAACTATCTTGAACTGTGGAGGGTTAAGTGTGACCTTCTTAGCTGCAAACCTAGAACTGGTCTTGTACCTTTTATATCTGCCTTACTGTGACATAAGTGCTGCAAAAGGGTTTTATTTCTCTCTCTCTGTCTCTCTCTGTCCCTCTCTCTAAAATATTCATTTTACTTTATTTTCTCTAAATATGATGTAGGTTTGAGTTTTCCCTGCTAAATTGTGATGGTCTGGGAGTCTCCTATGTTCGACCTGCCTGTATGTATGTTTGTTTATGTTTTGTTTTGGCTCCCCTCCCAGTCCCCTGCTTCTTCCTTTAAGTGTGTGTGTGTATTCTAGCGTGCCAGTTTATGGGCGCCATCAGGCCGGAAGGTGTTTCCCGTGTTGAAGCCGCCACACCTGTCTGCCGTCTAGATTGGCCACTACTTAACTGTTTGACTGAGCTTCAGTCAACGCTGGATTGTTGAGTTACCAAGTAAGTGAAGTCCCAGCTCTGAGTGGAAATAGTCTGTACGTGTGTTTCTCTGAGTTCACCGCTCTGATCTCTGTACCTTGTCTTGTGTGTCACAGGAGCGAAGTGTTTGTAAATGTCGAGTGTTGGAGTTGTTTTCCTGTCACACCTGGACCACCAGCACAATCCTGCAGGATTGGAAAGTCCTGCATTTGGGCCCCATTCTCACCACGCACCTTAACATAAATAATAAACACTTTGATTGAGAAACTGCATTTTGTGTTTACTTTTTTTTTTTTTTTTTTTATCTTTGTCTAATATTTAAATTTGTTTAATGATCTGAAACACTTTTTCACATCAATGTATGCACGTAGAAGTTCTGTTCAAAAACTATGAACAGAAACATTTCAACAATGTGAACCAAATCAAAGAGAAGTAGAGGCATGGCAGTATATGGATGATTCAGATCCACTAACAAACACAAAAACTAAATTTGTACAGGTTTTCTGTATTTTTGTGTGTGCATTTGTTTTTTTGTTTTGTTTTTTACACGAGATAAGAATGTTTCCATACACATACTGAGTGAGGCCCAATGTTTTTCATATGAAAATTGTATCTACTTAGTCCTGCTTGTATGTTCCTTACATTGTGCATTCATATCCATGTAGCAATGTTAAGGGTTTAACCAGCCAAAAGGAAACGGTCATGGTTGCAGGGAAATCAGATGTCAAGAGGGAATGTGCCACTCCACCTTGGAAGATGAGGGACAATTCAAACTTTTTATATTTTGTGTTTACTGGTTCTTGGAACATTCAGAGAATATCCTGACCACATTATTGAAGTTTACAGATACAGTACATCTGTATGTGCACAGCTGTGGTCCAGTGGAGCCTCAGCAAGGATGAATACTGTCAGAAACTGAGGTTAGACATGAACCACCTCATGTTGTGTAGCTTTCTGGATGTTATACTTGTTGGACTAAATACTTATTTATTACAGTATACAGTACATAAAATAAAAATTCACATGTTTTATGTAACTAAAATGTTTAATTACGTGGGTTAAAGAAAATACGAACCCCTAACACCTAATGAAATGTTTCTTATATTTTTTTAATGACCACATTTTGTCATATTTATATATTTATTCATTTTCACATTTTCATATTGAGATTTACGTTCACATCTATTACCAAATCTTAATATTTGTATTGTTAAAAATTCTCTCGTTCTGGTTCCAGTCTAGTCTATAAACTTTAATTTACACTAATTTAAACTTTTCGATTGCTCATTGGATAATGAAAATATTCTATCCACCCTATATAACAATAAATTTAGCTTATTGCTCTTTTTTTAAATACACATAGGCTGTTGCTATTGTTTAGCCTAATTGTGGGTTTAAGATTTTTAAGTACGCCCAAATGCAACAGAAAAGTTTGATGTGAAAAAAAAAAACACATGAAGGAAAAACGAAACGGATATGGGACACTTTTATTTTATTATATTTCCTGTTAGTTTGGAAACCGGCGACAGGGGACGTACCATAATACAAATAACCTCGGTGATCATATCTATGGTATAAACTTTTTGTATGAAATATATTTCAATTACTGATAATCTTTCGTCACACAACATATAGTTCACTCAAAATGAATATCAAAAAGGTTTTAAAACTTAATCCTCTGCGCGACCATGATTTGAAATAAATATAATGTTAAGCGCTATATAAATACAGGCCATTTACCATTTACCATAATGTTGACATAGTAACACCCCTCACGGCAGAGTTGGTCTCGCCCGAGTTCCCTGGGCATCAAACGCACATGTTTTCACGTCGGGTGTGTTGTGTTAAGGATTGTTCCAGCATTAACAGCATTTCTGAAATATCTGTTTGTTGTCACGCTTCTGTTTGCTCTCCAGAGACTACAGTTACAAACAGTGAAGCACCACAGTCAATGAGAAATACTTTCAAATCAGCGTCTGTCGAAAACACTAGAGCCGAGGAGGCTGACTCGTGGCTGCATGCTGCCGCTGACTTCACCAGACTAGAGGTATGAATGCTGTCAGCACACATTATATGTGTGTGTTTGTGTAGCCTTTCGTGACGCTTCTTTATTTCGGATACGCATGACTTCGTGTTGGTATTAGCATGAGTGATCGTTGCAGCGAGTTTGCCGGTAGCAGCGCTGGGCTAGCTTCTCGTTCCTTGTTGTTAACAGCCCCATGTGAACAGTGTGCTGCTCATTCGGCTAACAACAGTATCAATTAATCTAATCAAAAGGACACAAAGAGGCGAGACAATTCAGGGACTAGTGAGTCAGCTTGTGCATTGAATAGGTCTCGCTTTTAGGCAAGAAAAGTTAGAAAAACCCGAGTTAGCCGGCGGCTGCTGACCAGTGCCACGTAGCTGGCCGGCTAATGGGAGGAGAGCCGCGAGCAAGTTGTTCACAACCGCTGCAGGAGGCTGCATCATGAAACCAACAAGATGGACTGCCAGTGGGAGAAGCACTACCCTATAGACCTCTGTAATCCGAGTAAAAGTACTGATACGGCGGGGTACAATTCTCTTTTACATGCAATAGCCTCCGGTATTCGAGGGATTACCCTCCCAGGGGGCCACAAGTTAGAGACCACCTGTGTTGTGTTGCGCCCTGCTGACCTCATGCTTGGATTACTGAACAGGGAGGAGCTCCGGGAATTTGAAAGTGTAATATAATATAAGTTTTAGCATCAAAACATGCATACACTTGATGATCCGATACTGTGTGCAAAGCAGACAAACTTGGACTCGTCAGTTATTATACGTGGTGATTTTAAGAAAGCAAACCTCATCCTGGAAGTGCCTAAACACAGCTAGTTTGTTACATGCTCGTCCAGATCCCTATTACACTACAGTAGACAGTGCTAATCACATGGTCCCTGTGACATAACTGGTAACATTTCTTAACAGAATGTAAATCCAAAGACCCAAAGTGATTATAAAATTTTGCAAACTGCCCAAAAAGAGAGGCAGCATAACTGCACACATGTATAATCAAAGGTACAAAAAACAAAAGATGTCAGTGGACCACAATGAAACGCATACCGACTACAGAGACACAAGGTGGCTCCTTTCCTCTTTCTATGTAGGGAGCCAGTTATGTACTTAAGCTACTTCCTGTATTTACTGGCCTTATCTTTTCCCATCAGGCTTTGAGACTTGAGGAACGACACCATGAGCTCCAAGGTGTGTAAGAACTGTGGCAGTTCGGACATTGATGTCGACCATGCACGCGGCGATGCGGTATGCATGGGCTGCGGCTCTGTGCTGGAGGACAACATCATTGTGTCTGAAGTGGAGTTTGTGGAGACGGGAGGTGGAGGGTCGCTGGCTGTTGGACAGTTTGTCTCTGCAGAAGGTGAGAAAGACAGGACATTTGCTGCCTGTTGCTCTGCTGTTTCTCTAGATCTACTGTGGATTTCTTTCCTGTGTGGGTTTGAGCTGAACCAATACATGAAGGACAGACTAGTGGACTCACTGACTGGACAGTTTGCATGAAAATAGGGTTTTCTATTGTGTACATGTGTACTCGAATTATATATCCACTGTACATAAGTCAAAATGTGTGCAAATAATTCCCGAGAGCTGAAAGCTCAGCCTTCTCACTACTATAAGCTTTGTTTACCAGCGTCAGCCAATCAGAAAGAAGAACTGCGCTCTTAAAGGGCCTCAAGGTGCTTTTATATTGTAAGGTAAAGAGGCTACAATAATCAAGAGAAACCCCCAACAATCAGATGACCCTGTATGAGCAAACACTTGGCTGCAGTGGGAAGCAAAAACTCTCTTTTAACTGGAAGAAATGTGTGATAGAGCCAGGCTCAGGGAGGGGCAGCCATCTGCCAAGACTGTTGGGGTTGAGGGGAAGGAGATGGGACAAAAGACACAGCCATGTAAAGTAAATGCAAGCTCAAAAAGAAAAAGTGCCCAGAGTCATCATTTGCTTACAGATTGGGCGCAAAGATTAGACACCTCCTCACATGCTGTACACATGTCTGAAAGTTGTGATCGGTTCAACCAGACAGTGATTTAGAGCTCCAAGGCACCAACAGCACACACATGCTCACGATGTTCAGTTCAGTTACTCGATTTAACAAAGCTAAAGCAGGGCGCAGCCTAGTCAGCACTCACCTTTCACCCGAACTTTACTGTGCACCTGTTGTCAATAAAAAGTAAATAAACAATTCTCTTATAAATGAGTGAAAAACTGGAACTTTTCTGTTATTTCATGGAATATTAACAATAAAAATGTAATTACTTCAGGTATGTATTGGCTTCGTTGGTTAAAAAAAACAACTGTAAAATGTGACAGCTGCAGTGATGGAGAGAAATTCGAGACTTAACTGCATCTATTTTGCAAAGTTGTATAGAGGGCTGGACTGGAAGCTTTGGTGCGCTGGTTCTCGTCCCAAGATGCATAGTTGACACCACTATAAGAGTTGTTTAGACGAATTACACTCAGTTCTCATAAAAGAGTTTTAGCTTTAGAAACAAAAAACGTTTTTTCTAAATGGGGAAGCATGGGGGGTCCAGGGGGGAAACCCCCCGAATGAGCATAGGAAAGTTGCATAGAAACTGGCTGTGGCTGACTTTTGTGCATCGTTATTATGGTTGCCATGGGCCTGTGGGATACCCAGGTGCTCGTCGCTGTCCTGTATATTTGCAATTCTGCCTCCTGCTAGCTACCAGGAGGCAGAATGATAACATTTATAATGGAACAATGTCAGACCAAAATGCACTCTAAAAGCTCTAATCTGCAGCATTGTCACTTTGGACTAAAGAGTAACAAAGAGTGTGCAATTAGTGCCAAATGAAATCTCTGTTCTAAATGCTGCTTGTGGCTGAAGGTGATCATGTGGATCAAAATGCTCCACTGCTGGTATAAATAAAATACTGATGGCTTTGGGTTTGTGTCTAATGATTTTACTGTTTACACAGTCTGACTACAAGAAAACTGGACAAATTCAACTGCTGACATCAAAGAAGCATAGACTGCATAAAAAAAGATGGACTTTGCTACCAAGGTCTGAAAAGTGGCATCAGAACCTACATTCTTTTTCATGGCCAGTAGATGGCGATCTCTGTGGTTTCCACAAGAGATTTGGTCAAATGAAAGTGTGAGAAAGAGCCTTACTGTTCACTCTCACTCTGTATGTCCTCAGTAAACTTTCCCAATGAGCTTATGGTCTTAATTGCTGGGTTTGTGTCTTATTTAATACAATGTGATGTTTAAT